TGATTATTTTCTTAGTTTCTTTATAAACGCGTATAATACTTGAATAATAATAATCAAAATAAAAATAACTTTAAATAAAATGCCAAACAATAAGTTTCTTCACATTTTTTTCAAAAACTTGTTCGTCACATATAAAATAACAAAAATAATATATTTTAACATAAATTTCTTTTTTGAAACTTAAAAAAAGTTGAAGCAAAAAAAAAAAAGATTTGAAATGTCATGAGAATAAAAATCAACTTTCCACAATATTTCAAGCGGTTTAAAACTTTTTCTGTTTATTTAACTTTTCTTATAAGAAAATGTATGAAAGCATTTCATATGAAAAATAAATTTTTTTTTCAGAAAATAATAATAATAATGACTAAACAGTTAAAAATAATAAATAAAAATAATTACTAATTTAATATTAAATATAAATTAAAATAATTATTGTTTCAGTAACAAAAATATTCTAGAAATATTTATTAAATTTTTGATTTTATCATTAAAATTTTTTATATTATTTTTATTTAAAAAATAAATTTTTTTTTTTAATTTAAAAATGTATCTTCAATACATTTATATTTATGAAAGGAAGGAAAGATTGTAGTTTGAATTACTGTTCTTTTATAAACTATTCAGATAAACAATAGTTACAATATAATATGGAAGGCGAGAATATGTTATGTAAGTATCTTTCAGCGAAATGGATTTTCTGAAATAAACGAGTAGGAAACACATATTTTCATGTATAAAATAAAGTTTTTAATGGAATTCACTTCAATAGTGTTTAACTTCCTATTCTTTGCTTTTATCATAAACATCGCTCGAAATTCCATACAATTTTACGATTATATAGATTACACTTTCAGATATATGTAAGAGTAGAAAAATTTAAATTTATCATTTTCCAATTAATTAAATAATTTTTTTAAATTTATTTTACGACTGAATTTCCTACATCGGACATATAAACCTCATGTAAATATTAACTAAATAACTATATATTTAATTTATCAATTAATTTCATATTATATAATAATAATTTCATTAATATTATAATCTTAGAAATTATTATTATACGCAAATAATATACTGTAAAATTAAATATTTTAATTACTGAATAAAATTTTTATAACTGCTATAGAATGTGCATCAACTATTCATATATTTTAGTTGTAAAATTATTATAAGATTAGCAGATTTATAATAAATCGATTAATTATATAATAAAATAGTTAAATTTTTAAATTATAATTAATTTATTTTCACGAATAATTATATATAAATAATTCATTAAAAAATTAGTAATAAAAATTTATAATTAAAAAATAATAAAAAATAAAATGAATAAATAAAAAAAATTATTTAGTGAATTAATAGAATGATATGGAAAAATTTTATTTTATTTTTTTTTGTTATTTTTTTTTTAAATAAAGAACAGTAAGAAAAGCATTTAGCGCTGATGAAAATAGAATAAATTTGCACATGACATTTGCGAAAGTAAGTGAAAAGAGAAAAATATCGATCGACTTCTAACATTCACTCATAACAATAAATTTCGCGTTATATAAATACAAGACCAAGCTCATGACCGTTTCAACATACATAAGTTAATATATATATATACACACAAGTAGGAGATAAATATGCAATTAATAATGCTTTCATAATGCCGGAAATAACGTCTTACGCGTGCCACTGAACATATTATAAACCAAAAATTGTTGCAGTGGAGAAAGAAATTTTTAATAAATTTTTCAATTTTATCCAACGAAAATCGTCTTAGAAAAAAATGAAAATTAATTAATTTCATTAACTATTTTGTTTTATAGTAAAAAATTATTATTTTATCCACTTGGAAAGATTCCCCGGAAAATGCCCCCTGGAGGTTCTATCAGAATTCCGACGGAACTTCCAACGTAATTCCGTCGGAATTCCATCGGAGTTCCAAAGAATTTCCGATGGGATTCCGACGGTGTTCCAATGGAATTCTAACGGAATTCCGATTAATTTTTTTCAACATTTTTAGAGTTCTAATTCCGTCAGAATTCTGTCGGAATTACGTTGGAAGTTCCGGCGGAATTCTGATAGAACCTCCAGGAGGCACTTTCCGCTAAATCTTTCCAAGTAGGTATATAAAAAATTTTTCCTATATATTTTTTTTTATTTTTTATATATTATGATAATAGTGAAAATTATTATAATAATCCATATTGTTATTATTGATTGTAATTTAATTAGTAAATTATCATTTTACTCCCATTATTTCCGCCCGCAATCCCTATTATTGGATTTTATTTATCCGCATTAATTTTGGAAATGATAATGAGCAATTGAAATATTGAATTAGTTGGCAATTAATAGAATTTAACCTGCGCAGGAAAAATTATTCCAATATAATTATAATTTTTATTAAACTCATATATATATATATATATATATATAAGATGCAATAAATGTGTGATTTGAAGCATTAAATTCTTTAGCGTGTGATGAGGTACTCTCTTAGATTTTTATTTAACTCTCTTATATATATTTAGTGTTTGATATAATGATGATCGCGTGTTGTTTGGTGAAAATTCTCGATCTAATCGCGATAATATTATAATGAACGTTTTTAAAAAAGATTTAGATGAGTTTAACGACACAATAATCACTTTTAATATTGCAGACTGACTGACTGAGTATGAAATCAATTTTATTAATGATTAAATGAAAAAATAATTTCCTACTTCTTTTAAATGAATAGTTTTTTTTAATAATAATATAATAATAAAAAAAACATGTTTTACAATAATTTTTTTTTACGTATACAATTATAATTATATTTATTATAATATTATATAATTATAAAAATTATGATAAAATTTAAATATTATTATTATAATTTATATGATAACAGTTAACAATTAAAAACTAATAAACTAATTAAACAAATAACTAACTAATTAATTAACTAATTATATAATTAAAAAATTAACTAATTGACTAATTAATTAACTAATTTAACAAATACCTAATTAATGAATTGATTAATTAAATAAGTAACTAATTATCCTAATTAAATAATTAATTAATTAACTAATTGACTAATTAATTAATTAAAGAACGATTTTAACAAAAAGGAAATATTTATACGACAATAAAAAAAAAGTAATTAAATAATTTGTATATGATATAAAAAATGGTATGATAATAATTTTTTTTATTAATTACCTATTTATTGGAAATTTATTTGTATTATTTGCAATTCACGCTAAAGTATATATAAAAGCGAAGTTGTAAATAGAATGGCGAAAGTCATTATGCCATCGTTACGACTGCACTTGACCTGAGCTTGAACTCAATGGGAATCGTGTGTTATTCGAACTATTTTATATATATATATATATATAGTAAAAGGTGAAGGGTGGAGTCGAGGTAAAATATTATAGCCTCAGGAGTAATAATAGAAAGTAATCTAGACACTTTAATTGGTATCCAAGTGCTGACATATTTTAATCAAAGAACACGATATTTACTATTTTAATTGCCAGCTAATTGCTTATTATCAAAAAAAAAATTTAATTTTCAATTTTTATTGAAAAAAATTTTTAATTCTTCTATTTATTTATATATTTCATGGTAATCAAATCACCTGAGTTAGTAATTTGTAATCAATTGTAAAATAATTACCAAGAATTTGTAAAAATAAAATTTTGTCTGACTAAACATAATTTTCACTACTTAGAAATTAAAAATTCGATTTAAGCGCAATGTCTGACAATAACTGGCTTTTACTACTTATTATTTGAAAAAAAAATTCGGAAATACTGGACAATTACAAAAAAATTTGGAAATATATTTTATTTGACTACATTTATCTGTTCCTACTAGTAATGAATTTATTAAAATTTCGGGACTTTTGTGTCTGACTAAAAATGACTTTTACTACTAATCCAAAATTTCGAAAAATTTTGTAATTTACTGTCTGACTAAAATAATCTATTTTTACTAAATATGAATTTATCACATTAAGGGGATTTATTTATCCACTTGGAAAGATTACCCGGAAAGTGCCCCCTGGAGGTTCTATCAGAATCCCACCGGAACTTCCAACGTAATTCCGTCGGAATTCCATCGGAGTTCTAAAGAATTTCCGACGGAATTCTGATGGAATTCCGATTAATTTTTTTCAAAATTTTTAGAGTCCTAATTCTGTCGGAATTCCGTCGGAATCCCATCGGAAATTCTTTGCAACTTCGACGGAATTACGTTGGAAGTTCCGGCGGAATTCTGATAGAACCTCCAGGGGGCACTTGCCGGGTAATCTTTCCAAGTGGGTTGTCTGACTAAAATTATCTGTTTCTACTTATAAAAAAAATTTACAAAAATTCAGGAATATCTTGTCTGACTAAAATTGAAAATTCGTGAATTTTTTATTTGATTAAAATTGTTACCACTAATTTACAAAATAAATAAATTTTATAATAAATAAATTTAAATAAATTTAAATAAATAAATAAATAAATAAATAAATAAATTTACAAAAAATGAGAAAATGTATCGTCTGAATATAACTGTCTATTGCCTACTAATAACGCATTTTCAAGATTTCAGAAAAACTACCGTCTGACTATAATTGCTTTTTTCTACTATAATTCCGTTAATAGGTAAAAAAAAAGAAAAGTAAATAAAATAAAAATTCCCCTCTATAAAATATTAAATTAAAAACGACATTATATAAAATTCGCATTATTTGAAAACAAACATTTTTTTTCACCTCAGTGTTAAAAAGGGACAAAAAAATTTATCGCACCAAAAATTCAAATAATATATATTTATATTCTATATAGTGTATAGAGAAAGAGAAGTGATATTCGCTCTCTTTTTTTGAGATCGACGTCCGATCTCGTGAAAAATAGTGACGCCTCTCCAAGAAATAATATCTTGTGAAAAGCACTGCTTCGTTGCATCTCACCATAATTGCTCGTATAAAGAGCGAAAACATACCGATTCAAGTGGTCAGTCTTGAAAAAGAATTAAACCTCATCTCTCAACGAGAGTTTTATTTTAATTTTGTTTAAAAAAAATTTATATATAAAAATAAAAGTTTTTTGATTTTTTTTCACTGTCATGGGATACACGGTACGTTTTACGTATATTAAACGCGAGTGATGTGATTTTTTTTTTTTTTTCTATTAAAATTTTTGGGAAAAATTCAAATATATAGTGCAAATTGAAATCACAAAATTGTGATGAGATACAAGGAGGGCTACCAAAAAGCCTATCTACTGGATTTAACGATTAAATTCCCACGTTTCTCGTTTTGTGAGAATTTCTGTTGGTCATTTAATTTATTCGCTCAATTGATATAGTTAAGCCCTTAAACTCATTTACTCTCGTGAAATATCTAATAAATTTGCTTGAATCAACACTTTCAATTGTTTTGGCTTTTATAAAAAAAAAAATGTTTTTTATATTTTGTAATTAATTTTTTTTTTATAAATTAAAAAATTTCATTTTTTTTTTTGACTTATTATCTTTTTTATTTGAATTAATAAAATGAAATAAAAAAAGAAATAAAGTAAAATAGTTTACAATAATAATAATAATAGTAAAAATTTATTTTTATTTATTAATTTTTCTCACTTGTTCGAATTTTATAACAGGCGAACCAAAACGAAACTCTCTATTTGAAACAATTTCTTACACAGTCGACGTGTTAATTAAACATTAATTATGGTGTATTGTGATATAAAAATAAATTGGCTTATACGAGAGTTTCCTTTGTGAGATTTATTTTTTGTTCAGATAATAGATAAAATTAATCAATTTCAAAATAGTAGAATTTAAAAAATGTCCCATAGAAAAATTTGCAAAAAAAAAATATATAAAAAGAAAAAATAAAAACAATGAATAAAAAGGTCTAAAATAAAATAAAAAATTAAAGAAATAAAAAATAGATAATAAAATATGAAAATTAAATAATAAACTAAAAAGATCTGTTATTTATTAAAAAAAAATAATTTAAAAGAAATGAGAAAAAGAGGTCAATTAATTTTCTTTTTATAAAAATGTTTAATTAAATTTATCGATTTAATATAGAGTTATTCAGCGATAGTGTTGGCACTTTTCATTGTCACATTCACCAGTGGGGAAATATCTCAAAAAATCAAAAAATTTGAATACATCTATGACAAAGAATCAAATCGAAAAATTGGATATGTCGTTACTCGAGTGCAACCAATGAATACAAAATTCCCTCATGAAAATGTGAATCGTAATGAAGTGAATTCTATTAAATTCTCATCGGCCAAGAAAATTGGAAGTGGCAAAGAAAATGAAAGTATCGATCGAACTGGCGCCAATCAAGAAAACAAAGGTCATTCTTTATTCATTAAAAATTTATTTAAAAAAAAAAATTCGTTTTTTCTTGTGAACAATTAATTTTTTTTTATTAAAAATAAATAATAATAATAAAATAATACGTGAGATAATAAAATAATTATTTTTTCTTCCATAATAAAAAAAAAAAAAAATTTTTTTTTAATAATTAGAATAAATTTTTTTTAGAGGGAAATTTTCAAGAGGACCAACAAGCGGAGGCGAGTCACAATAACAATAATAATAATAAAGAAGAGATAATAGCTCAACATCTTCGCGAGGACGTTGTTAAGACTCTGACAATTGTGAAGAAAGTTCCCGTTCCCTTTCCAGTGGAAAATACCATTCACTATCCAGTTGTAAAGAATGTTCCCTATATGGTAAAAGTACCTGTACCCGAGCCATATGCAGTTGAGCGTAAAATTCCAGTACCAGTTAAAGTTTTTGTGAAGGTGCCCGTGAAAATACCAAAACCAATACCAGTGATTAAACAAACACCGTACGCAATTCATGTACCAGTGGAACGTCCTGTACCGGTGAAAATATTTATTCCCAATCCATATCCAGTGGAGAAAAAAATTCCCTATGAAATTAAAGTACCAGTACCACAACCATTTCCTGTGGAGAAAAAAATTCCTATCCCCGTTAAATTTACTGAACAAATACCACAACCATATCCAGTGGAAAAAATTGTACATTATCCAATTAAAATTTCTATCGATAGACCAGTGCCAGTTCCTGTATTACAACCATATGCTGTTCCTGTTACTAAAAATGTTCCCTATTTTGTCAATAAACATATTCCCGTTCCGGTCAAAGTTGAAGTGGAAAAACCCATTCCCTATCCAGTTGAAAATTCAATTCCCGTTCCAATAATTGAAAATTACGATCAAGATATTAACGATCATGTTCCACAAGTTCATGAGCAAAATTAGAAAATCTTTTTTTTTTCAATTTTCGAGGTAATTTTTTCGTTTTATAATTTAATTACGAAAAAGTTAAATTTTATTGATAAAAATTATTGGTTTCAAAAAACGGTACAAAAAAAAAATGTATTCCTTGTCCTTTTTTTGCAAAACTATTTGTGATATATATTTATAGCTGATAAGAAAGTAGGATAATTTATGAAATTATAACACAGGTTTATAAATTTCAATTTTTTTTTTTTGTCACTCGAACAAAACATTTTTTTTTCGTGCAATTTTTTTGTAACAGCAAATTATGCATTTTCGAGGTGTGACGTCACATAAAGTCACCGGTAGAGAAAGCAGTTAATCCAAATGTAAAAAATAAATCATCATTTGAATGATAATTAAATTATCTTTCAAACCATTGGTCAACCAATAAAATCCATTCAAAATTGTCAGAGTTACAGTCGATCAAAATTCAAATTTCAAGCAAATTACGAATTCGGGGTCAGTTCTTCAAAATTCAAAATGGCGGATCCAATATGGTGGACAAAATTTTAGTAATTAGAACTAAGTACACCAAAATGAGTATTCGGGGGTTTTCGGGGTCGCTGATTACGAATCCAGGGTCAGTTTTTGAAAATTCAAAATGGCGGATCCAATATGGCGGACAAAATTTTAATAATTAGAGCGAAGGTCACCAAAATGAGTACTCGGGGGTTTTCGGGGTCGCTGATGACGAATTCGATGTCAGTTTTTCAAAATTCAAAATGGCGGATCCAATATGGCGGACAAAATTTTAGTAATTAGAGCTAAGTACACCAAAATGAGTACTCGGGTGTTTTCGTGGTCGCTGATTTCGAAACTGAGTTCAGTTTTTCAAAATTCATAATGGAGGATACCGTATATTATAATTTTATTTACGTTATCGCGTAGTGACAATATCTAGTCCAATTATATGAAATATAATACTATTGTCAATAAAATCAATCCAGACTAGATATTGAATTTTGAAAAACAGACCTTGAATTCGTAATCAGCGACCCCGAAAACACCCGAGTACTCATTTTGGTGTACTTAGCTCTAATTACTAAAATTTTGTCCACCATATTGGATCCACCATTTTGAATTTTGAAAAAATGACCCCTAATTCGTAATTAGCGACCTCGAAAACCCCCGAGTACTCATTTTGGTGAGCTTCGATTAACTTAGTTCTATACAAAACTGATATAAATCGAAACCACTTGAAAATATACTAAAAGTGAAAAAGCACTTTGTTCAATAAATCTGGTGTAGAATTGTCATTTTTTATCCGATCGAGGTCTATAATGGCTTAAAAGTTTCGTTATTAATTATACTATTAATAAAAAATTTAAAACTTGCCTTTTTTTTGATTGTTTTGACTTTGAAAAAATTAGCGAAACTTAGACGAATGTTTAAAAATCATTAAAATTTGCTTGAAATTTGATCTTTGATCGATTGTAACTATGACAATTTTGAATGGATTTTATTACTTGACCAATGGTTTGAGTGGTACGAGGGGAAAAAATTTAAAATATGCTTTTCTTACTCAAAAAACACATATTAATCGAAAAAAAATGTTTTGTTCGAGTGACAATTTCACTGTAGGATAGTTAAATAATTTTAATATTTTAAACCTGTTTCACACAATTTAATAAAAAAAAATACTTTATAATAATTTCTTAATTAATTTCTTTTATTTTTTTTTTTTTTTTTGGACTTAGGAATTTTCAAATGAGATGAGAGTTGGCAACTAATCGTAGCGGATTTATTACAACAATTATTCCTTCTCGACTATTGCACACTTATATGCGTTTTTTTGCGGCGAATTAAACAGAAAAAGTTATCTCCTTTCTCTCGTGAGATTTCATCTTCGACAAAATAAATCAAGGCATTATTTATAAATATCCAATTTGCGTTTGTTTTTGAATTCACAAATCTAAATTACAATCATTTGACTTCGTTAAATTATTTTAAACTTAGATTTATTACATTTTCGATACAAATTTATTAAGACATGGAAAAAAATTTTTTTTTTTTTTATTGAAAAATAATAATTTAATTGAAGAAAATGTTAAATAACAAAGAAAAATATTTTTAAAATGTTAATAGCAAATTGAATGTATGAAATTAGAAATTTTAATTAATCGAAAATCTGAATTTCTAATAAATAATAAAAAAAAAAAATTCAAGGTATTATATCGTCGTAATTCGAAATGGGATTTAGAAAATGCGATGAATTTTAATGTCAATAATTACGCACAAGTCAATTTTGTTTTTATATGTACGAAAACAATAGAAACTTGGCGTAATAATTTATGTTTGCGTTATACTTTCTTATGTCATGAGGAAATATTCTTAAATTTACTTCCTCTTTTTGGAAGATTAACTGAATTGTATTCCAAATTTAATTAAATATTAGATAATAAAAATTATTATTCATTAATTTTCAACTAATATTAGATTAAAATAATATTTATATGAATAATTGTATAAAAGGAAAAAAAAATTGGGAAAACGAAATTGTTTTCTATATGATTGGAAAATAAAATAAATTATTTATAAATTTTATTATTAAACTTTTTCTGACAATTTCTTCTTTATATAAAATAAAGAGATTAAGTGAGACTAATGGATAACTATATATATATATAGCATCGGAAAATTTACGAGCAAAGTTGGCACGAGTGCACCTTCAATGGCTGTAAAAGTAGGATTATACAGATCATTTAAAAAGGTGGATAATTACCCGAATCGAGAGCTGGACTTTAAAATCTTATTATCTGTACCAGCGAAAGTCGTACTTGGTATAAATAATGCCAGGTACCTTTCCTTCGTCATCCAGTTCTCTTTCTACCAGCGCATCGTCTACAAACTTTTAGCCATGGGACATCTGGTCGGTAAAATTGATTTTGCCAAAAAAAAATTTTTTTTTTTTTAATTTTGTGATTATACGTGCATCAAAACAGGAAACACGAATTTTATTACACAGTGTATTTTTTATTGTAAATCTTATAAAATTTTAAAACAGTGTTTTCTTTTACATAATTAACGTTTATAGAAAATATTCAATGTGTATTCAGTGAAATGGTGATTAAAAAAGTCTGTTATTTTTTTTTTTTTTATTCAAAAAGTAATTTTCCTTGGGAAATTTAGAATTTTTTTTACAAAAATTTTGAAAGTACTTTTAAAAATTGGGAGTAAAAAAATTTATATCTTTATAGCAATAAAATTCAAATAATTGATAATTAAAAATAAATAGTAAAAAAATTGTTAAATTAATTAAAAGTCGGCTAACAAAAAAAATTTAAATCTACAGCTTGAAAAGCGGATAGTCGTGGCTTTCATTTATCTCTGGATAACAATGTCATCGGCACGTAAAGAAGATTTGGAACGAGCAGCCGAATTAGCAGTGGAACGTGCTGCCGAAAAAGCAGCAGAAAGAGCAGTGGAAAAATCACTTGAAGCTGGTAATCAAACATCAATGACAATCACCGTTAAGGAATCATATTCAAATGCAAGAAAAACAGCTGAGGAACAAGCGGCACCAGGCTCAGAATCAACGCGCTACAATAATGAAAAAACATCTATTTTTGAATCAAAAGATTTTCCCGATGAATATGAAACGCCATTGAACGAACAAGATTATCTCGATGATAATGATACAAGATCAGAAACTGACTATGAAGATTCACAAGTTTATGATTACAATGATCAAAAAGGTTACAATGATTCACGTGGTGTCGACGATTATGAAAATGATTATGACGAATCAAATGATACAAAAAATAATAACAATTATTCAAGTCCAATTGAAGAACAGGATACAAAAAGTGTCAATGATTACGAAGAAGGACGATTAGAAGATATCGATGATGATTACACGATTCCAAATCATACAGATTATCAAAAATTAAATTCATCAAAAAATACAAATGCTGAGATTACTGAAAATTTTGGTGATTTTGATTCTGATTTTCGTAATGAATTTGGTAGTAAATTAACCAATTCCGGTGGTAAATTAGAAGACGAGTTGAAATTCTACACGAGTGGTGGCGATTTTTCGAAAAAGAAAGACTCAAAAAAAATTATTAAAGTAGAAGAAGAGGAAGAAGAAGAAGAAGAACCGGAATATAAAGACGAGGATACATGGAAATCCTATTCAGATTGGCACAAAGATTTTAAAACAATTAGCGAGGAATCATTTCCCAATGGTTCTTTTTGGGATGATGACGATGATTCACTAAAATTGTGGTCCGATGATGATGAAACAGCAGACAAACAATCGACTTCAATTCGAAAAGTTTCTCCACCAACGACAAATGATAAATCACCAAAGGATTTTGATTTTAAAACTTGGCAATCGGATGACGATGATGACGATGATGAAGAAGATCTTGATGACAATGTTCCAGAGGCTGTTATCGAAAATGATACGAAAAATATTAATTCCTATCGAAGAAGATCGAGTCGAGATGATTATTTTTATCGAGATGGTCCTGTTTATTCGAGACCTAGTGAGAAAGCAACAACAGAAAAAATTACAACACCAAAATCATCAGCAGCAAAATTTAGGAATACATTTAAAGAAAGATCCAGAGCTCAATATCAAAAATTGATGCAAGAAAGATATTCAAATAATATTAGAAGATCGCCCAATAAATATCAAAATTTCACACAAAGAGGAAATGTTACCAACGGTGATAGATTTCGTTCTTATCGTACATATACTGATTTTAATGATTCAAAAAATTCTGGAATAAATAATCCTTTTAGAGATTTAACAACTTATAGAGTTTATCCCATGACGCTTGATGATAAGGTTTGTATTTTTTTTTTGAAAACATTTTTAGAATTTTCTATTGATTTTCTCTATTTTTTCTACAGATGGTGACAAAAAATCCAGTACTCTCAATAAATCGTTCAATGCCAATAAGTCCATCAATTAATCCTCCAATTGGACTAAATCAAAATGAGGCAAATATGCCACTAAACGTTCAAAGAATTATTCAGGAAGATTTAAGGGCAAATCTTCAAAGTAATCTACAGGGAAATCTTGAATTAAATTTACAGACAAATTCTCAGGGATCTTTGCCAAGAATTCCGCGTAGACCATCGCTTGTTCAATTACCGCCAAAAATGTCAAAATTAGAAGATCAAGAAGACGATATGCCTCCAATACCTTCGAAAATATTGACAGTACCAAAATTAAGGAGATTTAATGAAGGTATTAAAATGAAACCTCATCATCCGTATGATGTGATTGCAACACAAAGATCACAAAGAATACCAATGAGAAAACAACAGAAATTTATAACAGATGCACAACAAATTCCACTATTTGTTAATACAGCTCTACCTGGACCATTTCATATCACTAAACAGCAGACTATTGTTCATGACAATAGACCCTTTACTATTCATCTCGATAAATCTATTCCAATTGCACTTAGAAAAAGAAGGCCATTTATTGTTCATCTTCCTTTACAACCTTACGAGCAATTAATTAGACCAGAGAGTAAATTAGACAAAATTATTGAAAATGATTCTGCAGTTAGTGAAAATCGATTGCGAAAAATTAAATGGTCTTGAAATGTGTCTAGTGCGTCTTTAAATTAATGACTGAACAAATGTTTCTTTTTGAGAAACACAATTTTTTATTCTCGAATATTTTAATTTCATTTCAAAGAAATGGTTCAAGAAATTCCTTTAGGGAAAATTTGTCTTCTTTGTTCACAGAAAAATTATTATTTCTGGTAAGAAATATTTTCTTTTGGACAATAATAATTTTCAATAACGGAAATATAAGAAACAAAAGTTGAATGTATAAAAACAAAATCAATTTAAAAAGTTGGCCAATTATTATATCTTTGTAGCGTTTCAAATAATTTTTTTGTTTAATATAATATTCGCTTAACTATATTCCGAGAAAGTTCAAATCATTTTGTACGGAAGTTTTCACAAGTCACTTAAACATTCTGTCATTTATATTTATGCTGAATTGACTCTGATGAGTTTGTATAGTGTAAAAGAGCAATTTTTTTTCCTCTCGTAGTAAAATTAAAAAAAAGATTGCTTTTTGTTCATTATGAATTCTAGAACAATTATGCAGAGCATGACTTTAATTTTTTCATTAAGAGAAAAAGTAAATGAACCATGCTTAGGATAATTTAAAAAAATGTTAATTAAATGTGTACTTAATGTATAAGGCTTTTATTTATATAAATTGTATTATTAATAAGAAATTGTTGAAGCAAAGAAATTGTAAATGAATTTTTATATAATTTTTTTTTTTAGTCAATATTTTCAGTATTATAATTTAGTAAGCTGTATAGGAATTAGTTTATGTAATTGTGTAATAAATAAAGATTTATTGAAATATATTTTCTGTTCTTTTATTAAAAATTATTTTCTTATTTTATTTATTTAAATCTTCAATAGATGTAGGGAAAAGTGTAAATTATATAATTATATAAACGAATTTTATAATAATAAAATTAAGAAATTTTTGTTTTCTCTTAACGCGAATGAATATAAATTAGTAAATAATGATAATTTATTTACGAAAATTTTTTTTTTAGTTAAAAAAAAGTTTATTAAACAAAAACTATTTTCTTGTTTTTTTTTTACAGAAAGCAACTGTGCATGTATGGAAATCTAATAACAGGCGTGTGGAACTAAAACTAAAAATAAGAGATTTTTTAAAGCTTTTAAATATGAATATTTTTACTTAGAATTTTTTGAATTTAATTTTTTAAATTTGGAAAGTTTTAATATAATTTTTTTTTATTTTATTTTTTATTTTACATTTTATTTTATTTTATTTATTTTTTATTTGAATCAATTTTTTATTTAATATTTCCATATTATAAAGAAATTATTATTGCATTATTTATTGCAATTTTTATATTATTACTACTGTTTAATTGTTTTTTCTCGTCTTTTAGTAATAATTAAAATTATTGTTTGCAAATATTTCAGAAATGACAATATTTATTTTTATATCCTTTTGTGCTATGGACGTATAATAAATTCATGAAAGGTGGCGCGCAGTAAAAAAAATATATATATATTTATTTCTTATTTTATTAATAGTTATTTAAATTGCATAATTATATGTTTCTTCTGGTCATTGTTTCGTTTAAATGAAATTAGATACGGTTGGTTAAATGGCAAAAAAAAAAAAAAATAATCAACATCCATTGTTTAAAAGAGACGTTTCGGTGGGAAAGCAGGCGAAAGTAGGAAGAAGATTTAAATCCCGAGAAGGATTTAAGAGAACCAAATTTGCTTTTTTCAAAAATAAAATCCCCTTTTTCTATTGATAAAATAGATGAAAAAAATATTCCTCTAATTGATTATATTTTAAAATTAAAATTATATTTATCATCAAATAATTAAGTGACGAAATATATTAAATTATTAATTATTATATTGTAATTTTTAATTATTATTTATTATTTTTATACTATTTATTATTATTATTTATTTAATATTTTTATTATCAATTATTAAAATTTCCGTCTTTCAAAAATCAAGATTTATTTCCATAAAATAAATCGTTATTGAAGCCATTTGACATTAAAGATTTGATTGGTACCCTTTTAAACTTGATGTCTATAATTATTATAATGCCGCGCGCGCGATAGAGGCGTTTTTTTTTCTAAAGTTCCTCAATGTAATGTAATCATAATAATTATGATTATTTCATATTCTCACTGATTAAATGAAACAAATTTATTCTCTCATTGAGAGTGAGCAGGAACCAAAAGCATCGCATCATATCATGCGGTAGTCATGCAAGAGGTGATTTCGCATCAAGGAAAAATAAAATAGTGGGGTATATACAGAAGTGTGTATTGGCTTGTCGAAGTATAGTAAAGATTGTATCCGGTCTCTTGTGTGTCTAGAGCGGATACCTACGCAAAGTTCGTCGTCTCGCGTGCAAGTCTGAGAGGTTTATAAAAATATAGACACGAATGCGCGCATACAAATTTATATATATATATATATATAGAAAACCACTACATACGTGAATTTTCGCTTTCGAACGTTAAGGCGGGAAGTGATTCTTAGCGCGGGGAAAGCAAGTGTTCCCGGGGTATAAAATCAGTTACACCATGGGGGGAATCATCCAGTGAAGTCTGGACTGCGACTTGATTGCAACACATTCTTTTTATAATGAAAATTTTGGTAAGTTTTTACCAAATTTAGAAAAGAAGAGAATAAAAAGTAATTTAAAATTGAATTTTTTTTTCTCATCTGGAATCGAATTTTTTTTTCTAATTTTCGATTTAATATTATCGAATGGAATTTAGTGATAAAAAAAAAAACATTTTTTCCTCATCTTGTGACGAATTTTTTTGAAAAAAAATTTACGACTTTAATCGAAATTTTCATTATTTAATTTCGACTCGGAATTTAGTGATCAAATTTTTTTTTTTCCGGTTTCGAAAGAAATTTTTTTTTAATTTGTAAATACTATTACCAAATGGAATTTAGTGATAAAAAAAATTGTTAGACTGTATAAATACTACTATTGTATAGAATTTAGTGATAAAAAAAAATGTTTTAGAAAAATTATCGATTAGAAGAATAGTGTATCAAAATTTGTTCTTAATTTTTCATTAAGATTTAAAAACTAATTTCCATTGATTTTTATTAACATTTTATTAATTTAAAAAAATATTTTAATAGTTTTTTTTTTTGTAAATATTTTAATAATTTTTTAAAACGAATAGTGATAATTTTGTTTCTAAAAATATTTAGCTGTGAATTTTTTTCTAAATTTTGAGTGATAAATAAAATTTTCACTTGTACAAAATATTTTTTTTTTTATAAAGTGTAAATTTTCAAAAATTCGCTACTGATTATTTTTTTTATCTCCGGTAAAATAATTTTTAAAATATTGTACTGATTTTTGGATTTGGGTCGATATTATTTAGACATAAAATTTTTCATAACAATAGTCATATTGTACAATCTACAACCCTTTTTTATAGAAAAAATTAAAAATGTTATATTTTGAAAATTAAAAATTAATTTTTTGAAAATAAAAATTTAACAATAGTAGAAAATAAATTATCACAATATAACACAATTTTTAGGAAAAATTTTGTTGTCAAAATAATTTTTCTCTATTTTGGTTGTTGAAAAGAAAAAAAAAAAAAAAAAATTAATAAGACAATTTTTTGTTTTCAGCTCCCGACGCTATTTCTGGGGCTGTTTGCCCTGGTTCTATGCGAGAAGGAAGTGGAAAAAAAGGTGTCAGTGGATGAGAAAAAAGTGGACGGAGGTAAAAAACAAGAGAAACGAGGCCTCTATGGATTGGAAGGAGGCGATGGATATGGAAGTTATTACGGAGGTGATGGTGGTGGTGACGATTATGGTGGCGGTGGTGGTGACATTGGCGGAGGTCACGGCTGGGAACCAAGCATTGGTAGCGGCGGTAACGGTGGCGGTCACGAGGATCACGGAAAAATAAAACAAATAACAATTGAAAAAACCATTAAAGTACCAGTGCCTGTGGAAAAAACAGTCCACGTACCAGTTGAAAAACATGTGCCCTATCCAGTCAAGGTACATGTACCACAACCATACCCCATTGAAAAACATATACCCGTACCATATAAAGTTTATGTGAAGGTACCAGTGCACATTCCACAACCCTATCCAGTTGAGAAAAAAGTTGGTTATCCCGTTCATGTACACGTAGAGCGTCCAGTGCCCTATAAAGTTTATGTACCAGCACCATATCCGGTTGAAAAGGAAATTCATTATCCCGTTAAAGTGCCAGTTCCACAACCGTTCCCTGTTGAAAAACCAATTCCCTATCCTGTGAAGGTACCTGTTCATGTACCAGCACCATTTCCGGTTGAGAAAAAAATTCATTACGCCGTGAAGGTACCAGTTGAACGTCCCTATCCTGTACATATCGCTAAACCATATCCAGTTCCTGTTGAGAAGAAAGTACCCTATATTGTCGAGAAGAAAGTACCATATCCAGTGAAGGTACATGTGGAAAAACCAGTACCATATCCAGTGGAAAAACCAGTTCCGGTAAAGGTAAAAGTTCCAGTACCAGCGCCCTATCCAGTGGAAAAAGAGATACCAGTCAAAGTTTTCAAGGAGGTACCATATCCCGTTAAGGTACCAGTGGAACGACCTGTGCCTGTACATGTCACGAAACATGTTCATGTTCCTGTACACAAGCCAGTTCCATATGCGGTTAAAGTGCCGGTACCAGTACACAGTTATGGTGGTCATCATGAGGATGTTGGTTCATCATCAACATATGAGGGAAATTATGAATCAAGTTTTGGTGGCGGAGGTGGACATTCGGAGCATGATGCATCTGAATTTGGAAGCTATTGAAGATAACAGTGACGGTTGCCATTGAGCTCGTTTAAAGAAAAATAAAGAAAGAAAAAAAAAGCAAATATGTTTCGTGGCCTGCTATGGAAACGGTTGCTATGATAACGGTTGCTATGGAAACGGTTGCCATGCTAACGGTTCCTATGGAAACGGTTGCTATAGAAACGGTTGCTATGGTAACTGTTACCATGGCAACCATAGGAGTGTACGACATACGGACGAACGCCAAAGCGAAACTATAAAGCTTTCGGGTCTGAGTCACGAAACCCTCAAAAAAAAAAAAAAAAAAAACGTAACAATTTAAAAAACTGATTTTTTTTCACTTCACGGAAGTCATAAAGAAAACCCTGTGATACTTTTTTCTCAAGATAAGTGCAACAATAATCGAGTCACTCGTCCGTGGTTTCTTTCTTCTTTTTCATTTCAAAGAAGCGTCTTTCTTCTTCTTTGAAGAGTAATTTCTTTTCAAGCATAATTTCTTTGTACAAAAAAAATTATCCTTTTTTCCTATATAACTTTCTTCGTTTTTGAAAGAGATTTGGAAAAAGTATTTGTTTTTTAAAGCCATCTTCAAAGAAGAATCGTTTTATTTTTTCTTGTTCAAAGAAGAGTTAAAAAAAATCATTCGAATTCTTCTTCATTAAAAAAAAAACCATTTATTTCTTCTTTTCTAAAAGTTCTTCTTTAAAATTAAAACTGTTTCTTTTTCAACATACGAAAAATTTCTCTTTTGAAATAATTTTGCTTTCTTTTTTCAAAAAAAAATTTCTTCAAGAAGCAAGAAATTTTTATTATTAAAATAAAAGCGAAAAAAATTAATTTTTCTAAAAAAAAGAGAAACGCTGACTCTTCTTCTTCGTCAAAAGAGAAGAAAAAAAATTTAAGTCTATGTATAATTTTGTTTATTCACTGGTGAATTATTTATGCGACTAATTTAAATTAATCGACTTCTTATTATGGGGTGACAAATAAAGAAATTTTTTCAGTGAATAGACAAAAATTATACAAGGGACGAGTGTATAAAAATCGATCACTGATGTTCACTTATATTGTAATAAAAGATTTATAAATGCTCCATAAAGCAAATGAAGACATTTTTTTCCGAATCAATGGTAATCGATTGTAATTTATAAGTAGAAAAAACATTGTAAAATATATTTTGTAATTTTTTTTTTTATATATATATTTTCCTATATAGAGACAAGATAAAAATTCGAATACATTGTATATTATTTAGAATGAATCGCTATTTTTTAATTATACTGCCAGTATGTCTGCACAAAATTCTTCGCCTTATTTTTGCGTTGATAAATTTTTTGTAGCATCTCAATTCGTTCTCGTTTTATATATATTATATTTTTTTTTATAATAAAAACCAAAGATAAAAGAAAGTGGTTTGAAATTTTTATGAAAACCTAACTTTTTTTTTTAATTTTACTATAATATATTTATAACTTATGTATGTAAGTGCTTCGGTAATACTAATCCGGAAAGAGAGATATTCTTTCATTGAGATTTATAAACCCACAGTGAAAGGAGAAAGGTATATTTACTATTGTTACGAAAAATAACGGATGCTGTTTCTATGACTATGAAAGTGGTTTATATTCGATTACTGCCATTGGTATTATATATCATATTATAAATTTATACTTTGTATAGTCATTTATATCTACATGATATGTTCACAAAAAGAAAATTATTTTATTCAACTACATTGATTAATTGAATTAAATAATTTCTATTTGAATAAAATCATTTTTATTTTAATGAAATTATAGTAATAATAATTATTATTAGTATAATAAATAAAATTACAATAATAATTATTATAATTAATAATAATAATAATAATAATAATATGATAATTATTATAAATATAATTATCATAATTATTACAGATGGAATTATTTTATTCAAATTAATATTCATTTGTTACTCTATGAATCACATAGAAACTATTGCAGAGGTTTTATTGTATCTTCAATAATTTAAAATTTAGGAGATTCCACGGTATCTTTTCATGTTGTCAATTATTATTTTACTGAATAATAAACAAATAGTAATGGAGGTTCTACTTCAAAATAATTATGAAAATATTCTATCTTCTTAAATTAACTATGAAAATATTGATAAATTTTCTAGTTAAAGAAATTCTTCAGCTCCTTCTTAAAATGTCAGTTCTAAAGGTTCTACTGTACTCATGCAAATTTTACAGTGTGCCAATAAAATGACAATTTTTCAAGTTTTACTGTATCTCTTCAATTGTTATCAAGATTTAATTATTTCTTCAAACTGTTATTAATGGAGGTTGAACATTGAATTTATGTCAGTTTTTGAAGATTCTACTGTACCTCTTAAAGAAGTTTCTACTTTCAAAAATTTGTTTATTAGGATGATTTTACTGTATCCAGTTAAGAAGGTTCACTGTACCTCTTCAGGAGGTTTTATTGTACTTTCGAAAATCCGTATCTTAGGAAGGTTTTACTGTATCTAGTTAAGAAGGTTCACTGTACCTCTTCAGGAGGTTTTACTGTACATTCGAAAATCCGTACCTTAGAAAGGTTTTACTGTACCAAGTTAAAAAAAGTCCTACTGTACCTCTTAAGGAGGTTTCACTGTACCTTCAAAAATCCTTTTATTAAGAAGGTTTTACTGTACCAAGTTAAAAAAGTTCTACTGAACCTCTTAAGGAGGTTTCACTGTACCTTCAAAAATCCTTTCATTAGGAAGGTTTTACTGTACCAAGTTAAATAGGTTCGACTACACCTCTTAAGGAGGTTTCACTGTAATTTCAAAAATCCGTAAGGTATCTAGTTCTATTGTACCTTATAAACTATATCAAATAATCGCTTATCGAGAGTCTAGTGTACCAAAAAATAAAATAAAATTAATCACTCACCTAATGTAGGGAATATTGGCAGGTATATGGTACTTGGATCCAGGATCAAAATCATTTTCCGAACGCAAAACGGGCGGCTTCACGCCCATATATTGTTCTCTGAGTCGATGCCAATGACAGTTGAAATTATTACGATGCGCTGTCCCTGTAAATGAATCCCATCGCCATTTATCCATGGCAATGCTAAATGGTAGTGGTACAATTTTCTCCATTGCCATTGCAAATAGATAATTTAAATCCGCCTCACTGTCATCAATATATTTATTGGCCAATCCCAATGTTTGCATATGATGTGGCGTTGAGACACTTAAAGCGATAGCTTCACCAATTGCTTCGTGAAATCCTGTCGACAAAAAAAGAAGAAGAAAAAAAAATTTATATAAATAAACATTCAGTATACCCTCATTAATGTATTTTCCGGACTTTATAATATATTATGCATCACTTTCACTAGGAAAATCAAGACAACTTTTTTTTTTCTCCCCCTTCGCCCCCCTCTACAGGAATGAATTGAAAGTCCTCATTGCCTTTGTAATGAAAGTTAAATATATACGGGTTTTAATTACTCATCGCATTGGGAATTAGAAAAAATGTAACATAGGAAAGGAATTGTTTAAAAAAAAAAAAAAAAATTTTCTTGTCTTTTTTATGGATTTCGATAGATGTTTTTTTTTTTTGCTTTTCTTCTTAAATAAATATTTGATAATAGTCAAGTAACCGATTATTTGAATCAAATAATTTTTTTTTTCCAGTAATATTTTCTACATAATTTAATTCAATGTCGCGCATTATTTTTTTGAGTTGTCAATATATTTTAAGAATAATAATAATTTACACTTTTGAATTTCTTTATAATAATAGACATGGTTAAATTGCGTTTCATAATAAGTAGGGTGCATTTTTTAGGTCATTTCTGAACAGATGACAAACAGTAAGTAATGTCCTACTTTTGAGTATATAATATTCTTTGAAATATTAAAATTTCCTAACACAAGAAAGCGCAATTATATTTGCCAAAGTAACAGTATTAAAGAACTTTCTTTATAAGAAAAGACAAAATGACTTTAAATAATTTACATCTCTTTCAATAATCTAAACAATAATAAAATAATAATACTTAATATACAATACTCGCCCTTTCATACAAAAAGTATTCTTAAAAATTAACAATTACACACCGTGAAGATAAAACAATAATAATAATAATAATAAAATAAAAAAAAAACAGATAAATAAAAAAATTAAAAACAAAATATTATAATAGTTATTTTTAATTGATAACAATAGAATTCATTTAATTTTTTTTTCACAAATTCAATTGATATCAACAATTTCTTTCTATTAGAATCGAGTGAAAATGTAGGTTTTCCGGAATTTTCTATATATATATATATATATAAAGAATTTGTTGAAAAAAAAAGTTGGGCGTTGGTGGCAAACAAAAAATAAGAATAATAATAATATATAAGACGGAGAATTATTCTCTTCGAGAAAATAGGGGGGAAAAAAAGAGGGAAGGGTTGTGCATACTCGTTCATCTTGTATATAAGGATATATGTTTTGCAGAGCCAAGGCCATTGATGGTATCACAGTCAAGAACCAGTTGGAACAAGTTTGATACTACTTGAATCTTTCAGTTCCGGATTAAGGCGAACGACCGTACACCCAACGGTGAAAGTATAATTGCAGCATAATAAAAATATTTTATCGTCCTTACACTTGTTGAGTGCCACAACAACCATATTATATATATATATATATATATATACACCAGAATCGACATTGGGTCCGTGCCAACTTATTTATGAATCCAGTTCGACCGTATCGCGCGCATAGTCTGCCTTCGCTTTCAAGCCATTAACTGTAAAATCTAACGCGCTTCCTTCCGCTTTTGTTTATATATATATATATATATAAACTATGAGAGTAACGCATCAGTATATATACCGCAACAACTCTTATGTAAGATGAAACAAAACGTGATTTTGATACGCATCAGAGAGTCGATATATATATATTCCGATTCTAGCCCAGAAATTATTCGTTTATACAGTAAAATTTCAACGACCTTGCGAGATACATCGAATATTGTTCTTGAGATAAATAATTACAATAAAATGCATATTTTAAATTTATATACGCAAATTAATTATAACCACTAGAAGAAGTCATAATTATAATTGCTTTGGTAACATTTAGTGATTACACCTTAAAAAAAGTAATCTTCATTCTAGAGGATTCCTCTAAATGTAATGCATATTTTCCTCTTAATTTTGATATCAAAAGTAATAATCTTAATTTAGAAGGATTTTCCTCTCGAAAAAATCCTCTTAAAGAAAGAATAATATTCTAATATTTTGACAAGTTGAAAATAACCGTAATACACAGGTTTTGAATTAATTATTAGACAATAATGGTTGTTGATAATAAAGTACAGTTTTGACACATTAAATTAAATGTTGATATCAAAACCTCAACAAAAAAAATTCCTAGTGTTATTATAATGTCAAGAGAACCAATAATTTTTTTAAATTTGAATAATATAATAAATATTTAATAAGATTTAATTATTTACATTCAAAAAAGGTAAATTATAATAGATTCCTGGAATAAAGAATGAAATATTGGTTTTTAATTAAACATTTCTGAAAAAAATTTCTTGCTTTTTACTGAGCTGAAATACATTAGATTTAATTACAATAATAATAAAAAATGCTATGGCTAGTTGCAAATATCAAAGAAGTTCGACGCAAATATTTAAGAAAATTGGTAAGAAATGAAGATTCATCGAGAGGTTATATTTTCTGTATTTATACCTCCATTCAATATATCCACCCAGATTTAAATCATTTAGTAAATCTTCACAGAAAATTAAAAGGCATTAAAATAAGCGTTGCAGCTTATTTTAATGCCTTTTAATTTTCTGTGTTCGAGTCTCTTTTCCATTTTGTTCTTTCGATTTATAACACAACACTATTATGACAAAATACGAAAATTGACAGTTTCGAAAAACAAAAGCGCAAATGTCAAACAGGAAAAAAATGTAATCGATATCATGTATTTACTTTTCCTTTTTTCAAATATACTAAATTTAAACAGGAAAATCGTAATTGAAGAGGAAAATGCAAAAGTACTCCTTTTATCATTGTTCCATTACAACAAAGAATAAAAATATTCTACAGTGAAATGGAATATTCGTATTTTAAGAGGAAATATTCAGAGGATTTTAGAAGAGGAATTTTCCTCTAAATTTAAGATTACTTTTTTTTGGTTGTGATAAAAAAAAATGAATCACCCCACTTGGAAAGTGCCCCCTAGAGGTTCTATCAGAATTCCGCCGGAACTTCCAATGTAATTCTATCGGAATTTCCGATTGGATTCCGACGGAATTAGGACTCTAAAAATTTTGAAAAAAATTAATCGGAATTCCATCAGTATTCCGTCGGAATCTCATCGGAAATTCTTTGGAACTCCGATAGAATTCCGACGGAATTACGTTGGAAGTTCCGGCGGAATTTTGATAGAACCTCCAGGGAGCACTTTCCGGGGAATCTTTCCAAGTCGGACTGGAAAAAAAAAGAAAATCTTATTTTAAAAATAAATGAGTCTTATTTCAAGAAACATTTTTAAGCTTTGCTAATTTTTTTTTTTTTATTTAATTACATGAAAAAAATTTATTTGTTTCAAATAATCACTATTATCAAATATAATTTTAATTGTAACTGTATCAAAAATTAGTATTAAATAATTATTATATTTGAATCAATTATAAATAGTATTTGTTTCAAATACAGAAATTATTGTTGCAAATACAGAAATTATTGCTTCAAATATAAAAATTATTATTTCAAATACAATAATTATGGTTTAAAATACAATTTATTTAGTTAAAATAAAAATTATTTAGTTCAAGTAAATATTTACTTGATAATGTAGTCATATTTTATTTTGAATCAAATAAATATTTTTTTAGTTCCACAGTAAAAAAAAATCTTTAAGATTTAGTCTAAATAAATCTTGAATAAGATAATTTTAAATTAAACTAATTGGGTAAATTATGTTTATACACTGTAAAAAGAAAGTTTTATTTTAAGACTCATCTTAAAATAAGATTTTCTTTTTACTGCACTGAGAAAAAAATTTTAGTGTTTGCAACAAAATTGTATGGTTAGGCAATTTTGGTTCTTGTAACAAAATTTTGGTTCGCTGAAACAAAGTCGTAGAGTTATCTTAACCAAAAATTTGGTTCAGCCAACCAAATTATTTGGTTGAACATTTTTAAATTCCAACCAAAATTTGGTTACGACAACAAAATAATTTGATTCGATTTCAGCTTATAGCTTAAGAGAACTGTTAATTTAAATCTCTTAAAAGGATGGATAGTCCAGTGGTCAGAGCTCCCGACCTTCAGTTTTAAAACAGAGGTTCGATCCCAGGCGGAGATGAGATTTTTCAAAGTCCACAAATATTTCAATTGGATAAAAATATAAATTCAATGTCAAATTGATAATAAATAAATAATGAAATAATAAATAAAAAAGATAAAGAGAAAAGAAATAAGGTAGAATAAAATTTTTAATTTTACAAAAAAAACTGTTTGTTTGATCAACCAAACATTTTTGTCATGCCAACAAAAAAAAATTCAACCAAATTTTTTGGTTGACTCAAACAAATAGTTTGGTTGCTTAAATACCAACTAAATTTTTTTGTTGGCCCAACCAAATTTTGGTTGCTTTGACTAAACATTTTTCTCAGTGTGTGTAAACCTAAATTTAAGATGTAAGGTTAAATTCAGAAAATATTGAGTCTTAATATTTAAGTGCTTAGTAGTATTAAATTCAGCAAAAAAGGTAACGGTTGCTATGGAAACGGTTTCTATGGTAACTGTTACTATGGCAACTATACGATTTAAGATGGACGGACAGACGGACGGACGCTAAAGCAATACTATATAAGGCTTTCGGGCCTAAGCTACAAAACCTTAAAAATATTGCGCCTTAAAATAAGACCTATTTCTTCTCTTAAAATAAAATTTTTCATTTACAGTATTCGAATTTATCCGAATTATAAATATTTAATGAATTTAATATTTTGTATTCTAGATTTTTTTTTCCTCTCTACAAAATCACGCCTTTGTGCGGTGAATTTTTTTTTTTTTTTTTTTTATCATACCCACCGCAGAAATTAAATTTCAAGTATTTTGCGCATTACAATATTTCATGGATTGCTGATAATATTGAGAGCGATTCAAAGTTTCTTGACGCAGTGAGTGTTTTTTTCTTTTTTTTTTTAGAATGGTTGTTGTATATACACGTTATGCAAGTTTTGTACTCGAAGAAAGTTTGCAAACTTTATGATGATATTAATGATCGATGAAGACACTATAAGTCATGATTACATAATTCAAAGTAGGAAGTTTATTTCGCTCACCTGGATTCGCTCCGTCACGGAACTCACGAGGAAGATGACTATAGCGTAGAAAGTACTGAATATGGGCCATCTCATGATGTATCGTAATCAAATCTTTCATTGTGACCTTAGTACACATCTTGATTCTTTAATGAAAAATAAAAAAAAAAACCGGTTATTTATCACATCATAATATCTACAATCAATAAATTTTTCATTGAAAAAAATTTTACAAATTATATTATATTCTTATTTATTTATTAATGGAAAAAAATTTTTTTTTTTATTAGGTATTAATTTTTGAAACATATTAACTCTTTATTAGTCATATATAGAAACATTTTATTAATCATAGAAACTAATTATCATTAAAGTCATTATTTATATACTTCAATTTATTACGGTTTTTTCAAACTTTTTTTTCAGAGGCAAAATTATTTCCTATATGTTATATAATTAATAATAATTAATTATTTCATGAGTAAGAATAAAATTATTTCAACCGTAAATATTAATTTTGAAAAAAAAAATTATTTAAAACAGTAATTTACTTTTCTTGTTAAATTATTAAAACTTGTTATTTTATTTATTTATTTATTTTTTTTTTGTTACTTTGTTAATTTGGAATTTTTATTATTTACTGTAATTTATTATTTATATTAAATAATTAATCTAATTAATGAAATTAATTTTTTTCGAGGTGAAAAATATTAATTCTTTCTTAATTACATACCTGTAATCAATTCGATTACAGAAGTCCCAGGCGGATGCTTGACAAATAATTGGCCTATCACCAGGATCAACTATTATACTTCCGGCCCAGAATTCTGGTGGCATTGCACTCATATTCAAAGAAAGGAAAAATTCTTCTCCAATACGGAACATGTCAATTGGCGTGTATCCCTTAAAAAAAATAAATTATTAATTCATATAAATTAAAATTAGTTTTCATTAATTTTTTATTTTACAAAATTGTAAAAATAAAAGAAAAAATTAAACTTTACTCACACGAGCAATCATTTCCGGTGTAGCGTCTAAATAATTTTTACCAGGATAGGGCAGTGTTAGGTCAACGATATTCGACCAGGTTTGACCCCACATGTTACCTAACAAAAATTAATTAATTAATTAATTTTTTTCTATTTAAACAAATATTCATTTATTCTCACAATTTACAAAAATAATTTATTGAATAATAAATTCTAAACAAAATTAAGAATATAAATATAAACAGAACTTAATAGAATATAAATAGATAATTAATTATTTATTATAAATATAATGGAATAAATAATTAATTAATTATTACAAATATAATTAAATAAGTATTAGTAATTAATTATTTAACTAATATATTTTTATAAACTCCTTATATTTTATTTATAAGAAATTCTTTCTAAATATAAATAACTTTTTGTTTTATGTTAATTTCTCCTATTTCCGAAATCAATACCAATTTCGCCAAATGAAATTTGCAGTTGCAAATATGCATTCAAACTTTCAATTTCAATAAAATTCTAATTTCTTGTTTATATGATATTATATATTTGTAATTAATTGCAAAGTGAGATTTGCATAATTGAAAAATTTCCTTATTTTTTTTATTTTTTTTTTTTTTTTTACCAAGAATGTGTGATGGTAGAGGTGCGTGGCCACTTATTTTTTCAGGTCCATAAAGATCACGAAGTTTTCTTCTAACATAAGCGTGTAATTCTTCGTAAAGAGGACTAATTGATTCCCAGACTTGATCAATTTCTCGATCAAAGTTTGGTGTCTCATATGGAAACATCCATAATTCAGCGGCGTTCGTAAAATCTGTAAGCAATGATAATAAATTTTAGCTTTGGAAAAAAAATATATCATTTCTTTTAATCTATCGCTGTATTTTAATGAATAGAATTTTTTTTTTTCTAAAAATCTCACAATTTAACTACACGTTAATAAAGATGAATGACTGTTGTAGAAAAACATTTATAAAAAGAAAGATAAGAAAAAACTTTTAGAAATTTGCATTAGTTATAGTCAAGATTTTTTTTTTTTTTTTTTGTTTTGCTTTCCCATATATGCGTTTCACTTTTTAACATCGTGATAATTTCACGAATTGTAAATAAAATTTATTTTATTAATTTTTGTTTATTATACTTTATTTATTTATTATTTATTTAATTGTATTTAAAATTTTTATAGTTTTTAAACTATTTTATTTTCAAAAATATTACAAAAAAAAGAACGATGACATTTTTTTTTTTTTGACTATATGAAACAAAAATTAAAATTAATTTGTACAGAATTAAAATTTTGTTTCAGAATGCACATAAAATTGACTTTTAATAAGTTCAATTGTAATTAATGAAGATATTATTTTGTCTTCCGGTTTTAGCTTTCACGTAAATATATATATATAAGAAAAGTAACTTGCGTTTATAGCTTCTTCCAATTAAATGTAAATTAATTCGTTTCCTTTTTGCTTTTGCGAATGTCTTATTCTTTCATTGTTAATTTTATCTCTATTTTTCAGACCATTTAATCTCGGCAACTCGAGATCATTTATAATCAGTCACAGTAGTCTCAAAAAAAAAAAAATTTCTAAAAATTACAAAACGTGCTATGAATTTAGCAAAGGAAAACAAAACAAAAATTTCATCATTTCTTTATTATTTAAATATAAATTAATTCTATAAATTAAAACTATTATTTAAAATTTAAATAATAATCAAATGTATAAATTATATATCTATTTAAATATTAATTATTTAAATAATAATTTTTTTGTTATTATTTTATTATTATTGTTAATTTGTTGCTTACTGTTTAATTGCGCAGCATCATTGTTCAATTGGACCAATTGCTGATAAAGATCCTTCATTTTGATACCACTGCGTCTTCTCCATTCGAGCCAAACATATTGCAATTCATCCCAATTACGACTCTTAGCCATAATATGTGATATATCTGTAAAAATTGGAAAAAAAAATATTACCAATTTTTATAATATTTTATAAATAAATAAATAAATAAATAATTGTTTGAAATTTAAATACATGACATGTTTACTAAAATAAAGAAATTAAATGAAATTTATTAAAATAATTTACATATTTAAATATTTATATGCATAATATATAAATTAATGTGTCGTTGATGCAATCGTCAGGAATTAAAAATTTTTTTTTTTTTAATTTTTTTTTTTTTTTGCTTCTAGATTTCCGGTAATCGGATAACTATAACGTGTGTCTGGCATATAAATGTCGGAAATCAGGTTCCTGTTTCTCGATGATTAATCTTAACACGATTTTCTTCCCTGCACATATAGGAGTGAACATTTTACTTCCTTATCGTTGGGACAATGTATGCTATTTGAAAGATCTTACGTACAAGATTTTCACCATCTGGACTTTAAACACTGTACATGTTTCTCTTCCTCCTCTCATTTTCATATAAACAATCGATTACATCTCTCACTCTCTTTCGTCATAATTACATAAATTACTTCATATTTCAAAAATTATATATTTATACAAACCTTTTTGCACGGCCGCGAATTATTTCAGAAAAAGAAAACAATTTTATTCGATAAAAATAAATGAAAAAATTTTGTTTTTTTTTAATTATTCAATAAATAATAAAATTTACAATGTTTATTAATTATTAATAATAAAAAAAATTATTAATCATTTTGTCTAAAATGAGAATTATTCATTTACTGATTGCAAAAGAAAATCTTTTATCTCTTCTTGATTTTTATTATTTGTATTTCCTTTTTTTTATATATATAATTTTTGTGCAAATTTTAATTAAAAGAAAAATTAGTCGAAAATTAATAAAATGTCTCTTACTTTTTCTTATTTGAATTTTTAATTTACTTTCCAAGTCACGGATCAGTATTTTAAATAAACTAATCGGATCATTGATTTTTATAATTTATTTTAATTCTCAAATTTTCGTAAGAAAGTGACGTTGAAAATTAGTAGAATTTTATTTACAAAAAAAAACTATTAAAATAATTAAATTAATATTAGAAAAATAATTAAATATAGAAAAAAAAATTTTTAATTCAAAATAATTTACCTGGAAATAGTCGTAATCCACAATGGAAAGGATCATTATAGGCACATATTGTTGCACTATTGTAAATAAGTAACATATCGTTCAAAACTCGTTTGTACTGTAAACATTAAAAAAAATTTAATTAAATTAAAAATTTAATTTAAATTTAAATAAATAATTTTTTTTTTAAATTAAAAATTTCAGTTTTTATTTCATAAAAAATTGTTTTACTCGGTCTGATTGATCAGGTGTAAAAGCAGCATGTCCAACAGTAGATAAATATCTAAGACGTCGTCTAATTACTGGATCACGAATATTTCGCCAATCTATTCTATTTATTAGATGCCAAGCTTGATATTGAAAATCCTCGTACAAATGTTGAGCTTCCAACTAAAAAGAAGATTAATTTTTTAACTCTCTATTTTTTTCCCCTTTCTTATTATATAATTTTAAAAATAAATAAATTCATAAAATATAAACAAAATTTAATTAATATTAATAAATAATATTAAATAATTGATTATTACTAACAATAAATTAATACTATTAATTAATATTATCATTAATTAATGTTATTAATAATTAATTAATATTATTAATAAAATTAATATTAAATATTAAATATTTAATTAATATAAAAAATTAATATTTATACATTTTTTTATTTACGCATCACTTGGTTATGTAATTTAAAAAGTGTCATTTGTAACAAAACAGGTTACACGTTTCCGTCGTTCGTTTCATGAAAAAAAAAAAAAAAAAAAAAAAAAATGGGTGAAAGAAAGGTTCACCTTTCAAGATAAAGATAAGAGTATTTTTTATCACTTGTCGGTTGGAATTCATTATAGGAGAAACTCGAGAAATTAGATCATGTAATACACTTAATTTGTCTTTAAAATTTCAAGTAGGAAAATAAATTTTTTTTATTATTTAATCATGTGTGGATTAATCAAGAAAAGAAAAAATAAACATTTACTCTGTTAGTAATTTTTTATTTTTAAAAAAATATGACCATTTTTTTTATATAAAAAATTTTGAGAAAAATTTGACTATCTCTATTTTTCTATATAGATGTAAAACTTAATTTTATTAATTATTTTTCTCTAAAATATAACCAAATATTTAGAATAAATATTTTTCGTTATATTCTAAATTTTTTTTTTTTTTAACAATACGAATGTAGGCATTCAACATAATATGGGAACCAGTAACAGGAAAACTTGAATAGAAATTTCCAACTTAGTTTTAACGTAATATTATAATTATGATTACTGTGAGTGAAATTATTTACAAATTCTCTAAAAAGTCTTGATGATACGCCGATTTATATATGTATATATATATGTATAGTCACGCAATAATTATGTATTATTATAATATACCAAAGCAAAAATTTTGTAAAAAATTATGACACATATTCTAAAGAACAAACTATATATATACTTATTAATTACCATAATTAAAATTTCATATAATTAATTTACAACAATAAAAATACAACAGTTAAAAAATTTATAAATTATATTTTCCATTTATACAGAGAAACTAATTTTTATAATAGAATTTTTCAAATATTATAAGAAATATATATTTTCAATATTTGATAGTCGGAAAAATGGTTTTTGAAAATAATTTTATGTAAATTTTGGTAGTTATAGTAAAATTGGTAATAAAATTAAATTAGTTAGAAATAATGGTGATTTTAAATTATATAGTAATCAGTGAAAATAATGGTCGGAAATAATGGTATTTTTAAACAATGATAGTTTCAAACAATGGAAATTGGAAAAAATTGCAATTCAAAAAAAAATATTAATTCAATCTGGTAAATTTTCTTTTCAAACTTTGTATATATTTAAAAATTCTCAATAACAACGGTATAGTCGAAAAAATTAAATGGAATATAAAAATGGTCAGAAATAGTGGAACTAATAACTAACTAATAACTATTATTAATAAGACTAATTAATAATAGTCAAAATTAATGGTACTCGGAAGCAATCATAGTCGTAAACGATGGCATTTGAAATTAGTCAGAAACTTTTGTAATAAACTCAAAAACACTTCTAAAAACAATTATGGTTGCAACAAAGATGGTCAGAAACAATGGTGGTTCAAAATTATTAGAAAATTTTTATTGAAAATAAATAAATATTTAAAAATTGGTAGTTTTAAGCAATTAATTAAAAAAACAGATTGAACGCATGATAATTGATAGTTAGAAACAATGGTAGCTGAAAGCAATGATAGTCGGAAATAATGGTGGTTCAAAATTATTAAAACATTTTTATTGAAAATAAATAAATATTTAAAAATTGATAGTTTTAAGCAATTAATTAAAAAAACAGATTGAACGCATGATAATTGATAGTTGGAAACAATGGTAGTCGAAAGCAATGATAGTCGGAAATAATGGTGGTTCAAAATTATTAAAACATTTTTATTGAAAATAAATAAATATTTAAAAATTGATAGTTTTAAGCAATTAATTAAAAAAACAGATTGAACGCATGATAATTGATAGTTGGAAACAATGGTAGTCGAAAGCAATGATAGTCGGAAATAATGATAGTGTGGAGGAATTTTAGTCGAAAACATTGATAATTAAAAAAAAGTAACTAAAAAATAGATAATAAAATCGAGTGCTTATGAAAACAATTATGGTTGACTGTGATGGTCAGAAATAATGATAATTTGAAACTTGGGAAACTTTTAGTTGGAAATAAATAAAGAAAAATTAATAGTTCGAAACAAAGAATTAAAAAAAAAATTGTAGACTAAATCAATTGTATTTTAATATATTGGTAGTTGGAAACAATGATAGTCGGAATCAACGGTACTCCAAAGCAATGGTTGTCGGAAAACAATGGTACTTCGGAGCAATTATAGTCAAAAACATTGTTAATTAAAAAATAGTAATAAAAAAAAATAGTCAATAAAATCTATCACTTCTGAAAACAATGCCAACAAATAGTCAGAAATAATGGTCAGAAAATAATATGATAGTTTAAAATTATCAAAAAACGATCAAATAACGATGAAATTTGGTTTAAAATATATAAAATTAAAAATGGTAATGAGTCATTAAAAGAAAGAGACATTTAATATTTTTCGGAATGTTATAATTATAAAATAAAATCAAAATAAACAGTTTTGGACTAAAACCTTGCCACGTATAAACGAATGCCAAATGTACATTTTTTGTGTTACTCAATAATATTACCGCGCGCGATTACAATAGGTGGGAAAATTTTTTTCCGTAAAATATGTGTGTGTGTGTGTGTGTGTATATATTTTTGCCTTTCTCGGACAACGAATGTGTAGAAAGAAAAAAAATTTTTTTAAAGTCCCTCTTTGACAATTGACGTGTGCTTCACGAGCGCGCGTGAACCAAAACAAAAGAAGAGGTCGAGGTCTTTGTGTCATTTTTTTGCCACCATTTTCACGAGGTCAGAATAACATGGGAAAAATGTGTATTGAAGAAAAAAATAAATAAATAAGAAAAAAAAATTAGCAATAATTTTTTTTTCTAATCTTGTTATAACGAATTAAACACATAATTTGGCAAATTAATTTCCTAAATTTATATTCTATAAATATTTTTTATATATAATATTTCTAAAATAATAAAAATTAAAATTAATCGAATATTTAATTTTTCAAAAAAATATCAATTTCATTATATTTTTGAATAAGAAAAAGTTTTGCTATTAAATAAAGTATAAAAAAAGAAGTAATAACACGGATGTTAGAAAAGTTTTTCCTAGTTTTGACAATTTTTTTACGATTTTTAAAATTAGTTTCTTTCTTTTTTAGTAAACTAAAATATTTTTATGTATATTTATAGGATCAGTAAAGTAGAATATCTATGTACATATATTTATATACATATATGTTCATTCAAAATTAATTATAATTATTCACGAATAAAATAGTTCATATGTAATTACTTATTTAAACTTGACTAACATACAAAAGCTATTTGACTAATTGTCCAATTAACCCATTACGTGACAGACATTATAAAATTGTAAATTCGTTGAACTAATGCACTGCGACCTCTTCTAATATTCACGAAAAAAAAGAAGAGACGAATCTAGTTCAAATCAATTTTCAAATGCAAGTATTAAATTAAAAAAAAAAAATTCCTCTCAATATAATTTGGTTAGAAAAAAAAAATTTTTTTTTCTTACCGCTTGAATTTGTGTGTAATCATTGACATTTGTCTCATAATTCCATTGAGCTCCAACATTTGCGCTGCATCTTTCAGCGCCAGTAAAATCTAATTTTGCCAAAATATTTCTAAAATCCGATTCCCTCGTTGTAAATTGTCCTCGATCGGAATTATATTTGTCTGAATTGTATCTGTCCTGATTGTACCTGTCTTGATTGTACCTGTCTTGATTATATCTATCTTGATTATTATAACCATCTGAATTATATCTGTCTTGATTATATTTTTCCTGATTTATTCTATCATCTTGTAAGGGAGGTAAATCTAATTGACTCGATACACAGGAAATTAAAAACAATAGTAGAACTATCATCTGAAAAAAAATTACATTTGCAAATTTTAAACATAATTATAATAATAAATAAAAAAATAAAAAAAAATAATAATAATCAGTTAATAATTATAATTATTGTTAATTTATTAACTAATTTATTTATTATTATTTTTATTTTTTTTTAATTATTACTAATAATAATTTTTCTAATTTTCTCGAATTTTCTTCAGTTAGAAAAATTAATATTTTAATATTCATAATTAAATTACTGTAATTAGTTAAATTATTATTATTAATAATCAACTTGACTTGCAAAATTATAATTAATTACTTTTATTGATTGTAAATTTTTCATAATTGAAATGTATTTTATGGAATTGTGTTTATTTAATTTTTTTTTTTATGTCACCACATGATAATGAAATAAAGAGAAAAAAATCGAATGAAGAGAGTAAAGTGGGACATGTTATATATAAAAAAAAATTCGTTGTATTTTACCAGCTGTTCAATTTTTGAAATAAGGTGTGAACGTAAATTATTTTCCAAATTAACCCTCATCCCCTTGTATGGACATAATAATGTCACGTATAGGGCGTTAATGCATTCAAGGGGAAAGTTTTTCCACGCATATTACACGTGTCCACTAAATTTTTCTATTTTCGAGAAAATCAATTATTAATTATATTTTAATATATATATATATATATAAATTAAAACAAACTTTGATGAAAAAATATTTTTGACTTCTATATATTGAAAAATTAATATTTTTGTAAATATTTATTTTGTTAAAGTGACAAAAAATTAATAAAATTGTAAACAAAAAAATAAATGAATAAATTATTATGTAAATTATAAAAAAACCAAATAATTCTAAATTTTTTTTTTTGCATTTCTGAAAAAGAATTCTTATATAATTAAAAATAAAGATTTTTAATTATGATAAAATTTGGTTTCATATAAATGGACAAAATTAAACTTCGCGTGTGAACATTAACAATAGTGCGAAGATATCACGTGAATTGAACAATAGTCCTTGCAAACCAAAAAAGCCTCACATTCATTTTATTAAATGTCTTTGGCCTATAGAAAGTAAATTGATATTTTATTTTTTAGAATAGTATAATTTTTTCAATATTTTTTCTTTTATTTTCTTTATCAAACATTTATTATCTATCGTTAAAAATATTTTCAAATTATTTTTTTCTAAACTGTTAAAAAAAATTAATTTTTCTATAAATTATTTTCATTTATTTATTTTTTTTTGTTTATTACTGTTATATTCAGAAATGTGAAAATAAATTGTAATTATAGTCAATCATAGAAGAACAATAAGAATTTATGATTTATATGTTAGTATGTATTGTATGAATGAAAAAAAAAAAATTACAAAAGCAAGTTTACACACGACATACGAAAGGAATATGTCGGAAATGAACATTCACTTTTGCGTCCTCATTAAACAATTCTGATATATCAATTACATTGGTATCTCCCGCAATAATGATTTCATGCGGTGTGAGAATTTGAAAAATTCTTTTTACCTTGTTATTTATATGATCTGTTTACATTTATAATGATTATATTTTTTGTAAGAATCATAAAAATTTAATTTAAACAAAAAAGTCACATAATTTTTAATATTATTTTCCTTTTTAATATCATAAAAAGCCAGTAATGAAAAACAATGGGGTCAACATCTTCTATTCAATTATAATAATTCTATTTGTTATACTTCTTGTCAATTAAAGCGTGACAATTTTTTCTTTCAGTTTTTAAGGTGAAATCCTTCAATACAAAACGTGCACTCGTAATTTGATAATTGTTATAAAAATTCTTTTAACAAAAAATAAATTAAAAAAATAATAATAGAAATAGAAATAATGATAATAGAAATTTTGAAAAAGGTATGAACATTAAAATCAAAAAGATCCGTATAATAATAATTCATAATAATAATCTTCAAAAAAAAGTAGGTGAAAATTTTGTTTACGACTGAAAGTAAAGATCTATTTCTTTGGTTTTCTTTTTCGAAAATTAAAAAAAAATTTTTTGTTATAAAATACGCGGTTTCTTTTTGTAAAATTACTATATTTACATCTGTTTTAAACAAAGTGGCTAATTAAAAAACTGAAATTTTTTTTTTAGAAATTTTCACTAGAAAATAAAAATTGAAGACTGTCTTTAAAAAATTATTAAATAAATACAATTATAAATAGAAATTAAACATTGAAATACTTTTAAATAATAGTGATTTAGTTTTCTTTGTCTTTATGGAAATTACAGATGACGTTAAATGTGTAAATTCAATGTCCCATAATGTAAGGAAAAACCACATTCATAATAATAACTATTAAAATGCCATGAATAAATCAAATTGTATAAAAGAGACAAAAATAAATAAATACTTTTGAATTATGAAATAGAAACATTATCTCATCACGAAAGAACTTTTCAAAATAAAAAAAAAAGTTAAATAAATTTTTTAAGGAAAATAAAAAATTAGTGAAAATAAATGTAAAAATAGTAAAATAGAGAAAAATAAAAATTTTTATTGAATTATTTTAGGTATATCATTTAATTTATAATTTTATTTTATTGTATAAATAATTTTTAATTTAATAATAATTGAGTCATTTTTTATAAATAAATATTGAAATATTTTCACATAATAAAAATTTTATGTTTATATACATTGTAAATTATTCACGACTGTTATAATATTGTAATTATGGGAAATTAATTTACTATAAAGTGGTAAATGTAGCAAATTTTTCATGGTTACGAGGTCAAAATGGTCTAAATAAATGAGAAAAAAAAGTTAATAAAATAAATCGTTATATATATATATATATATATATATACGTGTGCTCTTGATGCTTGAGTGACTTCGCGAGTCATATGAGAAAGAAACTTCAAAGGTATTAACTATCGCGTGTTTCAAATCCTTTTTACGATACTTCTTTCAAGGCTAATTTTGTGTTTTTCGATAGATTCTAATGACAAATTGATCGCCAATTATTAATGAAAAAAAAACGCGGAAAACCAATAACGATTTTAATTTACTATCCTAAAGTGTTTAATTAATTCTTTCTCATTAACTTCTTCTTCTTTTTACTATTTGAAATTTTATTTACTCTCTAAATTTAAATTAATGATACAATTTGTTTATTAGTTCAAATTAGTAGAAAATTTTACTAATTTTTAATAAAATATTACTATTTGATTTAGTAATATTTTTTTTACTAAAGTTTTAGTGAAAAACGACTAAAAATTTTCACTAATTTTTTTAAGTAAAATATTATCATTCGATTTAGTAATATTTTTTTTTAAGTTTCAGTGAAAAGTATGTAAAAATTAGTAGTAATTTTCACTAATTTTTTAGCAAAATATTGCTATTTGATTTAGTAATATTTTTTTCTAAATTTTTTAGTGCCAAAAATTGCTAAAAACTAATAGAAATGTTCACTAATTTTTAGCAAAATGTTACTGATTGCTCTCTAAATTTGAATTAGTGAAAAATGAGCTATCAATTCAGATTAGTAAGAATTTTTACTAATTTTTAGTAAAATATTACTATTTGATTTAGTAATTTTAAAAATTTTACTGAAGTTTTAGTGAAAAATGACTAAAAATTTCACTAATTTTTTTTAGTAAAATATTATCATTCGATTTAGTAATATTTTTTTTAAGTTTCAGTAAAGTTTTAGTGAAAAATAATTAAAAAATTTCACTAATTTTTTTTAGTAAAATATTATCATTCGATTTAGTAATATTTTTTTTAAGTTTCAATGAAAAGTATGTAAAAATTAGTAGTAATTTTCACTAATTTTTTAGCAATATATTATTATTTGATTTAGTAATATTTTTTTCTAAATTTTTTAGTGCCAATAATTGCTAAAAACTAATAGAAATGTTCACTAATTTTTAGCAAAATGTTACTGATTGCTCTCTAAATTTGAATTAGTGAAAAATGAGCTATCAATTCAGATTAGTAAGAATTTTTACTAATTTTTAGTAAAATATTACTATTTGATTTAGTAATTTTAAATTTTTTACTAAAGTTTTAGTATAAAGTGACTAAAAATTAGTGAAAATTTTTTACTAATTTAAATTAGTAGCTCACTTTCTGCTAATTTAGATTTAGAAAGTGATTTAGTAATATTTTTTTGTTTTAGTGAAAAATTACTAAAAATTAGTAGAAATTTTTGGTTATTCTTAACGAATTCAAACTAATTTAAATTTAGTTATAGAAATAAATTTAATTAACCAGATTTTTTTTATTCCTGTTTCAAAATTATTATTAATTAAGTAACTTATACGATAATTTAATTATAATTGGAATTAGTGACTCACTTTTTGCTTTTGAATTAGTTAAATTTTACTAATTCAATAGTAAAAAAAAATTTTTTTAACTTTAAATTTTACTAATTTGGCAGTAAAAAAAAAAATTTTTAACTTTAATTAAATTTTACTAATTTGACAGTAAAAAAAAAAAAATTTTTAACATTAATTAAATTTTACTAATTTGCCAATAAAAAAATTTTTTTTACTCTTAATTAGTATAAAAAAAAATTAATTTATATAAACATTTTTTTTTTAGAATAGAAAAGGAATACAACCCTTATTCCGTCCATAAATCCACAATATCCAAAATGTGAAAAAAAACCACAAAATACACTTCTTTTTTTTTCATAAAAAAAAAAAATACACGTTGATTATTTTTTCTCAAGGAAAAAAAAATTGCTTATTAATATCACTTTGAGCACTTTTTATGGAACTTACAAATTGTCTTCGTTGATCGAAAACGACCACGAAGACCGGCCGGTGGAGCACCTCCATGAGCAACCACCCTTTCGAAGTGAAGTAAGTGAACTAACACACCTGCCCCTCGAAAAAATAATTTAACACGTAAGGAAAAAAATTTTGTAAATAATTCTAGAACCGACTTCTCAGTCAATTATTATTATTATTTTATTTAATAAATTTACGGGAATATTTTCATTACTATTTTTAATTTATTATTATTATTATTTTTATTATTATTATTATAATCGCGCCTATACACTTGAACGCGCTTAGCTCTTTGGAATTGTACTAAAAGCTTCGTAGGTCAGTACGTATACATTTATCCCTATGCGAGTAGTGTGTCGAACGACACGAGAGGTCATCCATAGAAAGAGTGGGGATACACCTGAGTTGTCGTTCGAGACAATGTGTTTGTATAAATTGCATCAAAAAAAAAAAAAAAAAAAGGGGGAAAGGATAATGTAGTAGGAGGAGGACCGCGAGAGGTAGCAAAAGAAGAAGAAGAAGAAGTAGAAAAAAAAGGGGAGCGCCATTATACGCGAGACAAGGAGGTGAGGCCGCAAGGTGGCCTCCGCTTGCAACACCCGCAACACTTGATTCCATATATTCCCACGTTGACAGTGGAACTTCTCGGCTTTTTCAATGAGACCCATTGTCGAGTTTTGCCGCACGCGTCTACATCGTTTCATGACTAACCTTCGGCAATTTAGTCGGCTCTCTAACTCACATAAAAAACAAACGCGATTTTTGTTATTTATTTATTTTTTTTAACGATTAATATTTTGATATTTTTAACTTTTGAAAAGAAAAAAAATAGAATTTTTCAATTAGTTGCAAAATCAAAGGAAATAGAAGGAAACATTTGAAATTTACAGAAAGTCTTCATTGATATCTCACCTTTAAATTAAGACCAAAAAAAAATTTTTAAATCTCCACAAATACCAAAGATATTATTACAAATGTCCTATCATGTTTTTTTTTTTTAAGAAAAATATAAAGATGCTGACATTTGGAGTAATATCTTTGGAACTTGTGGAGATTTTTCAATTTTTTTTTTGGTCTTAAATTAAAAGTAAGATTACAGTGAAGATTTTTTGTAAATTTTAAATATTTTCTTCTATTTTTATATAGATTCTGCAACTAGTTGAAAATATTACAAAAAAAAAAGACAAAAATTACTCAAAGCTTCCAAACTTAGGTCCAAAGGGCTGAAAATTGTTTACAAAATTGATAAAATTTTTTCTGTTATTATGATAAAAATTACTCAAAGCGTCGAAATTTATCAGGTATACAAATATAGGTAATCATAGAAAATTATAAGGTATTAAAATGAGCTGAAACGCTTATTATTTTAATCCGATTTTGCTTATTTTAATACCAAAATGGATTAAAATAATAAGCGTTGCAGCTTATTTTAATACCTTTTAATTTTCTGTGATAATGGTAGTTAACTATTTGAAATTTTTTTTTTTTTTTTTATTACAAAAATTTTACGAAAAATTTCATCAATGAAATATTTGCATATCTGTAACAGTGTAGCATATCAATAAAACCAATGGGGGCTCGAAACGGGTCACTTTTACGAAATCAAAATTTCCATAAAACGATAACAATAATTATAATACAATCATAGTTTTTTTTTCTAAAACAAATAACGTTTTTGAGAGTTTTTTTTCCAATTATTATTAGAACGATATACTAAATAAAATTTAATTAATTATAAAATACTGAAATTGTGTATTAAAAATAATAATAATAATAATAGTCCTAAAAATACAATTAAAAAACAAATTTACGATTCTAAAAAGGATTCTTGACCCAATTGTTTATTCATGATCAATATTCAAAATTTTTATTCTCTGATAAAAACTTGAAATCATCCCTGCATTAAGTGACTTTTAATTTCTTTACTACACATATTCTTTGCGTTTCAATGACGTTTATTTACTCAAGGATAATTCACTCTTTGATTATTTCTTAACTTCACATGTCTGACAACGAAAATTACTTTGTTTGCTACTGTTATTTCACATATACTGTAACGAAATTTCTTAATTTATTTTTTGTCTGTGAACGAAAAATTTAATTTCAATGACAATAGGAAAAAAAAAACAGTATCACTATATATTATAGAAAAAAAGAAATTTGTACATTTTCAATGTGTTTTAAATATAAAACAGTTTTTCTCATTTTTTTTTTTTTTTTAATGTTCTTCTCTATACGATTTCTGTATAAGTTGATAATTTAATTCCATCCTCGAAATACAGATTTCTTTGTCATTTATTTTTTGTATCTTTGTTTAGAGACTTGTTAAAAGACACAATGTTGAATACAAATATGCGTATATCCCTGGGAGTTTTTTTTTGTTGTCTATTATTAATAATACTTTCTTCAACTTAGCATTGCAATCTTATGCATTTAATTTATAATTTCGTAAACAAGACAAGAAATTAGTTTTACTCTCAAAAATGAAAATAAATGTTTCCCTTCAATTCTACAATATAAAAGTGAATAAATAAATAAATTAAAAAATATTTAAATAAATAATTAAATAATAAAAATAATAATTAAATAAATAAATTTAAAGAAATTAAATTAAATAATATACATATTTATTTATCCAATTTTCCATATAAAATAAAAATTTTAATTAAGAAATAGATTTTCATAACAAATTTTTCTTTTATTTACATTTATAATATTAAAAATTCAGATTAGAAAAAAACTAATTTAAATAGAAAATATTAAATTATTTTTCATATATATATATTTGTAAAAAAAAAAATCCTCTTTGCTGTGTCCTTAATTTGTAGAGACATGTTTATTCCTTTACACGCGTAGACAGCACGCTAATTACCATTTCATTGATAGAAAGGATTTTCATTGTTTACGTAATAATAATTCACACTCTAGAATGCAGTGTTATCAGTAAAAGATGATTTCCGCGAGAATACAACATTTTTATTTCAAAAAAAATAAAAAGAAGAGGCAAAAAAAAATACTCGTGCATAAAAAAAAAAATAATAATATATTAACGATGATTCATCGTTTACGTGCCCGCAACTTGAGTAATTGCATAATTACCCCTTATATGTGAATCCCATCGAAACCTGGGTTAATTTGCTTATTTCATGGCTCGCCATAAATATATACTTGCAAAACAATTTAAAATATTAACAATAAAAAAAAATTTAAGTTAAGTAATTTAATAAATAGGAAATTAATAAATTAATAAATTAATAAATTAATAAATTAATAAATTAATAAATTAATAAATTAATAAATTAATAAATTAATAAATTAATAAATTAATAAATTAATAAATTAATAAATTAAATAAAAAAGAATTCATTTTTTGGAGTGAAGAGATTTTTTTGAGTAAATCATTTTTTTGGGGACAGTATTTTCAATAATTATTTTAGATAACAACTTCCGGCTATTTTCCTGACGAGGAAAAGAAAAAGAAATAATCAAACCGTCTATTAAATTGTACGATTCACTTTTATGATTCATAGGATGCTGTCATTTGACTCGTATCTATGAACTATTATTGTTAATTTTTAATTTGCATTTTGTATTTTTCACCTCACCCTTGACACTTCTGATTCAGATTCTGCGAAATCGAAAAAATTATCATTCGATGAGTCAGTGCTTCCTTTTGGTCATATCAATCAAAAAAAAAAAAGTGAAAGAAAAAAAAAATCATTACTAAGAAAAATTATTTAATATTAATTAATAATTTAATATTCAAATTTCGCTAGATTTCATTGATGAGAAATTTTTCTTGATATGAAAATAAATTTTCTCTTCATTTATTGACACTATTCTTTAAATTTGAATTGGTTAATATTTTTTTTGCCAAAAATTCATTTTACAGAATTTTTAAGTACCAAATTTCTATTCAATAGAATTATTATTTTACAGAATTTATTTTTAGTCAACTTTTTATTTAAAAGAACTCTAATTTAAATGAATTTTAATTTAGCATTTTTCTCATTTAATTGAATTTTATGTGCTTCGAATTTTTAAATGCTTAAAGATTCAATTTATTGAATTTTAATTTGTCCTAATTTTTTTTTTAGTTGTACGTATTCTTATTTGATAGAATTCGTAAAACGTCGAATTTTCGTTTATTCAAAATTGCAAATGGCAAAAAGATTTTGGAGCCGTTTTTGAAAATTTACCAATCACAATTCCCTTAATAATTTTTGATTGGTCAATTTTTAAAATCGCGTCAAAATTCGGTCATTTACAATTTCGGACAAATGAAAATTTACGAAATTATATCAAATAAAATTTCAAACAAATAGAAAATAAAAAATAAAAAAAACAAACTTGAAATAGAAAAACAAAATTCAATTCAATTAAAAACGACGATAAATAAAATCGAGTATGAAAATAAAGAGTTAGACAGTTGGAATGGCTAGTGATATAAAACCACAAGATGAAAAAGTAACTTGGAATCTCGAATTGTACATATATATATATATATATATATATAAATCTAGTTATGATATTTATTACAAGTATGCAGTTCGGTATAAACAACGACCGCGCCCAGAAGACAAAACGCGACGAGGATAGTCTCACGATGATCTGGAACAACCGTGACTTAGTCTAGCCTGGATGACGAGACCTTGGGCCATTATAATAACGACACTCTTACGTACCTATATGTTCGTTGTGTTTGCGTAACATTAAGACTTTACAAGTACACTGATTTTATGCAGGTAGAAATATATAATCAAGGTATCGTGAACTATTCTCATGTTAAATTCGCAAAGAAAGATGTATTCTTCAACACTATAAACCAAAGATGTTTCATTTTTTTCTGACCTTCTTTAAAAAAATTAATATTGATTTTAATATATACATATTCTTAAGACAATATTAATCATCATAAAAAAAAAGAATTTCTTTAATTTATTAAAGTGTTGGAACAAATAATTTACGATCTTTTTTATTCACTGGTAATAAATTTGTAGATAATAAATAAAAATTTATTAAAGAAACAATCATAAATAAAATAATTTTATAGTACTGTAAATATAAATAAAGTTAATTATTTTATTTTATGAATCTGCATTAAAAAAAACACCTTATAAAATGAAAATGAAATAAAAGTTGAAAAAAATTATTTGAATAATTGTTTTGTTTATTCTCTAAATTTGAATTAATAAAAATGTTTACTAATTTAAATTAGTAACTCACTTTTTGCTTATGAATTAGTAAAATTTTTATTAATTATTAGTAACTTTTACTAACAATTAGTAAAATTTAAGAGAGACTCACTTTTTGCTTTAGAATTAGTTTTTTTTACTAATTGTTAGTAAAAGTTACAAATAATTAGTAAAATTTTTCTAATTCATAAGCAAAAAGCGAGTCACTAATTCAAATTAGTAAAAAATTTTACTAATTCAGATTTAGAGAGTAAAAAATGTCATAAAATGCTATAAATATATTTTCACTAGTTTTTAAAAAATTTTAAATGTGACAACCAGGCCCATAGAAATTTACCAACCCGGGGCCAGAACAGGAAATTGGATCGGGGCCAGGCCGGTAATTGGGATGAAAAGTGGCAATTTCTGCACGGGTACTTTAAAATTTTTTTCTCTTGTTTCCGAGTTTTTATTTGTATTTAAAGAAGAAAATAAAATTGAATTTTAATTCACTTGATCTGTTCAAGTAAATATTTATTTAATAATAGTCAAGTTTTATTTGAATTAAATAAATATTTATAATAAAAAAAAAATTGTATAAAAATGCAAAAAAATTAAAATTTCTAAAAAATTCTTTATAAATTCCCGATAATTGTCAGTGAATATTTTACATGCGTCTAGAGATTTATTCGCAGGTCACTTGTCACGGAAATAAATATACAAAAGCTATATAGTCTTATGCGAGTCCTACTTTCAATAGTATATTACAAAGATAATGAGCCATTAAAGTAGACAGAGCAACTCTATGAGTAGTTATTGGCGCTTCGTTGTTGTCCTAGACGCAATATGATAGTAACATAGTTTCTCTATACACTGAAAAAAAAAGTTCATTGAATTAAGTAAATGCATTTACTTGAGATACTTTACTTGAATCAAGCCAATATCATCTTAATGGAAGAAATTTATTTTCTTGTGCCAAGTAGTTATTAGCATTGGGCAATGTACTTGACATAAGAAAATGTGAGTTCCATACAAGCAAATAATGTTATTCTTTCAAAAAAAATATTTTACTTGCACGAAGTCCAAAAAAGTATTGAGACAAGAAAATGGAAAGATTAATAGATTATATATTATTATTATCTTTGGCTATTATATATTATATAATAATTATATTATTTTAGGAATATCAATCTCACCTGACGTGTATGCTCATCAAGAGATGAGCTGCAAAAATGATCATCTAAAAATGTCCGCGTTTGCTGATTCTCTAATTTGAGGAAATACTGATGGATCTTTAAGATCTGTCCTCTCCATCAAATTAGCCTTGATAAGGGCCAAGTTCAATATATTCCTGCCAGCGTTTATATCTCTCTCCCAAGTGATATTGCATTTTTGGCAAAATGAATACCGTTTTGGAGATGCTGATACGAAACACTGTCCGCAGCATGTGCTACATTTCTGTGTAGTGTACCACTCGGAAACATGTAATATTTTTAATTTCTGTTCACCGACTTGTCTTGACCGCTCTTGCAGTTTCTTGTGGATTTGTCGAATAGGTGTGAAAACATGTCCTTTTGTAAAATTGGCCAATTTTTCATTTCCGATTCCAACGAAACATGATTCTTCTTTCAAATTTCCTATTATTTTATTCACGACTCTATCTTTTTCTCGCTCTACAAGCACAAGTTTATTAAATTTCAGTTGGACGATGCTTCTCTTTGACAGAGTATCTTGAAATATTTCGAATAATTTCATTCGAAATTTTGCAATCTTTTCGTACTGCCTGGGATCTTTGGTGTTGACGTTGAATGTAGGGTTTTCCTTCATAAACTTTTTGTATTTTTCGTTCATTTTTTTCGTTTTTCTGTTTAAAATGTCTCTCCTTCTAAACTCTCCGGCACGAAAACGAAAAGTTTTTGCTTTCACATATATCGGTGCGTCTTGATCTTTAACTTTCTCTAACATTTTCGGTTCTCCGCGTCGAATGACTCCCCCAACAATGGCTTTCCGACCTGGATCTAGACCGACGAATCTTGTATACTTTTTTATTTTTACTTCTTTCGGTTCCTGCTTAAATATCTCTTTTTGCGTTTCTGTCCTATCGAAAATTAGTGACACCTTCACTCCGTCCGTTTGCATCAAAGTAGGTAATTTTTTAATCTTATTTTTCTTCATTAATTCGGTAAAATCAAACAATCTATTCCACAAGTATTCCAACTGATTATCTTTTCCATTTAGTTTATTTATCTTGTTTATTTCATTTTTTTTTTGCTGTGGATTCATATTTTCTTTCTTGTGCACATATGGTAGCACGTTTCTAAGAAGAATAGTTTTGGTATACGTTGCATGTTGAATACCATAACGTCTAATGGGAAATAAAACAAAACTTTTTATTTTGTTTTCAACAAAATGTTTTTGTAATTTCATGAAGAACGGCAGCAATTTATGCGATGTGTAGTGGCTTTTCAAATTCTTAAAATCAAGAGGCTTTCTTCGTTCTACTTGTTTTTTCTCTTCTGCTTTCTTTCTCTTTTGTCCTTGAATTTCTTCTTTTTCTGTTTTCTTTCCCTTTTCATTCTCGATTTCCTCTTGCTTCTTCTTCTCTTCTTCTTCTTCTTCTTCTTCTTCCTTTTCCAGTTTTTCGTAGAAAGTGTCATACTCTTCTTGTACTTCTTTTAAAATTTTTTTCAATGTCTCATCGGTGCATTGATTTTCTTCTATTAATAGATTAACAAGTGTTTCTACTTGCTGTTTGCGTTCTTTTCGTGTCAAAGGTTTATTTCTCGTTTTTGGTTCATCGTTTGTTTTCTTCTCTTCTTTTTTCTTTTCCTCTTTGTTCTTTTCCTGTTCTTTCTTCTTCTCCTCCTCTTTTTTCTTTTTCTCTTCTTTTTTCTTCTTCTCTTTTTCCTTCTTCTCTTTTTCCTTCTTCTCTTTTTTCTTCTTCTCTTTTTCCTTCTTCTCTTTTTTCTTCTTTTCTTTTTCTTCTTCCGTTATTTCAGTCTTTTTCTTCACTTTATACGTTCTTTTGTCGTAATCTTCATTAATTTTTTTCAAATCATCCTTCCGATCAGCTTTACGTGTTATCAATTGAAAGTATATTCTTTCTTTTCTCAATTGTTGTCTTGTCATTTCTTTTTTTTGTTGTTTGTTCTGATCTTCCATGTTATGTGTTCTTTTTCTTTCCATTCTTTTTTTCTTCATCTTTTTATTCCAATTTTTACGTCTTCTCCGATTTTTGAGATTTTCCTCAATCTTCTCTTCATCACTATTTGCTTTTACGAATGAATCCTCTACTTTATATTCATCATTATTTTGGTTCTTCTTTTCCATTAAGAGTAAATTAAAATACTTTTCAAGAATTTTGGGTCCATTTATGTGTATATGAACACCCATATCTTTTTTCATTTCTTGACAGGCTTGTAAAATAAGATCCTCTTTGTTGGCGCAATCAAATTTGGTTAATTTTTCTATTCTGTATTTATTGAATGCTTCGTATTTCTCATTTTCATCCTTCCATTTTGATTTCCCTTTGTGTAATTGTTGAAATTCCTCAAATAAATCAGAATCAATTTCCGTTTTCTCATCCTTTAGTAATACTTTAAAATCTTCGAATAATTTATCTAACTCGCCATGCTTTTTCCTAAAAGTCTTCTCTGCCGCTACAGTTCTTTTCTTAAAACAACCCATAATTTTGTCGAACTGAATCCCCTCTTTAGCATAACGCTTAGCTATTTTCGAATCATGTGCATTCATAATGTATTCCAAGAAAATGCTACAAACAATTTTGAGTCGACTCAAAACATTAACATCATCCTGGATTTTTTCTTTGACAATGTTACCTTCCGGTAGAATTGCATTCAAGGACATGTATCTGGTGTAATATTTTTGTTCTTGATCTTCTTCTTTCGCGTCTTTTGATGCAGTATTTGATACTTTAGGTTTGGACGTTGAAGGTGGGAACTGAGAAGAAGCAGCATTTGGAAATGATGACTTTTCAATCTTTTTGTGTTTTTTCGTGGGTTCTGCATTCGAGGGTGATGTTGCCTTTGAAGATTGTGTTTCACGTCTTCTTTTTCTGTTGTTCATTGTATCAATCTGTAAAGGGAGTTCAGGAAAAAATGTATAGAAACACGTTTTACTTTTCATAAAAGAAAATGATTAAATTATTCATTGAAGAACTTAGAAATGTAAACAGAAATTTTAACATTAAGAACAATAAATTTAATTTTGATGATAATATTTTTACGAGACCTTTATTACCGATAAGATAAGAAATAAGTTTAAATTCTAAATGTTCTAAAAGTAAAGTTTTTAACAATAAATATTAAATTGATGATTTTTATATGTGTTATATGAAACAGAAAGGTCTTGCAATCGATAACAGATACAAAAATCCAATTGAGAATTTAAAACTTGACAATAATTTTAAACAATAATTTTCAAAGATTTTTAATTTTGATTTTTGAAATTAATTGAACTTCAAGTGATTTTTAATTTAAAATTTTGAAAATAATTGAATTTCTATTGAACTTTTTGAAAATATTTAAAGAATTTATTACAAATTGCAGACAAAAATACAATAATTTGAAAACATTTGAAGTGAAAAATGGTTTCAGATAGTTGAATTTTTGAAGAATATTATAAAAATCATTAAAAATAATTGAATTTTAGAAGAGTTACCTATAATTGAAATTATTAAATTTCAAAAAATTTTAGATGGAAAATTTTAGAAGCTTTTAAATTGAAATTTTTGAAAATAATTGAATTTCAAAATATTGTGTTAAATTTCAGACAATAATTATAATAAGAGAAATTTTTAGTGATTTCTGTTGATAAAGAATTTATTAGAAATCACATACAAAAATTGAATTCCAAATGATTTTAATTGAAAAATGCTTTCAGATATTTCATAAAAATTTTAATTGAAAAATAGTTTAAATTATAATTGAATTTGTGAAGAATTTAATTGAAATTATTAAAAATAATTAATTTAGTGAAGAATTTTAGTTAAAAATTTGTTAAATAATTAAAATTTTTTTTTTTCAAAAAATGTAAAAAAAAATAGTCTAAAAAGTCGCAATTTATTAAAATAAGTCGAAAAAAGTCGTATAATCCGAGGCCTGAATAATATAATAATAAAAATATATTTATTTATTAAATATAATTAGGTATTAAATATTTTCAATTAATATTTCAATTAATAAAATCCGAATTCAAAAAAATTCAACTTTGTATTTTTCTTAAAAAAAAAAAAAAAAAAAAAAATGTGAGAAAGAAATTATTTCATTGAATATTTAAATTTGAATTAAATTTTATACTAAATTTGAAAAAAGTAAACTATGTTGTAATCGATGTAAACGTAATTTAAACGACATTATTGTGTCAATATATATTACATTATAAAAGAAATTGGAAATTATTAATACAAAATTTCAATAATTGAGAGCCACTGTTAAGTCTTTGTTGAAAGACAACATTAAATATACTTAAATAAGTAGATATAAAAAAATCGTCTAAAATCCAAATAAAAGAAAAATTACCATTAATATAAATTACAAAATTTTCCACATTACATTCATTTGAACAGATGTTTCATTATTTGAATCTATGAATCAATTAAAAATCAATTTCAATTTTTTTTTCACAACATAATTAGATAATTATATTACAAGAAAAAAAAACGAAAAGTGAGGTTAGATTATAGAGTATAAATAAAAATTGTATAAATTTATTTTTTATAATTGAAAAATTAAAACTGTCACTCACCGCTTGAAGTAAAAAAAATGAACATTTTTTTTTCTAATATTATATACATTTACGTATCAAGTAAAATACACATACCATGAGATTAAATGACGAAATAACCTATACCAATATTAGAAACACATTTTATGTTACTTCATCGATTTGACTTTTTTCAAAACTTTTTATAGAATGATGAAAAAATGAAAGCATTTTAAATAAGATTAAACACAAATGACAAGAAAAAAAAAATTATAATAAAAATTAATAGTATGGCATTCACTTCCACGTAGAGAAATAAATGCGTTAGCGAAATTGTGAACACGTTCCCTATGACCAAAATGGCTGTTTGCTAAAATTGGATACCACGTTCGCACGAAAAAATGTTCATTTAAAAAAAAAAAAAAACAATTCCAAATGTAAATAAAGAATAAATTATTATTTATTTTATATTTACCTTGTCGTCGAGGAAAAGTCATAAAATGGTATCGCCCTGCTGGACGGTCGCCTTCTAGCGCAAAAAATACAACTCGAGCCGATGAAATAATTAAGACAGATGGATCGCCCAAAGCTCTCTCACTAAGAGACTTCCTGTGCGTTTTGTCGTCACCTGAAAAATAAAGAAAAAAAGAATCTCTTTAAACACTATCGATTCACGTTAAATTAAATTTCAACTTACTCTCAGTACAATAGAAATCTTTATGATTAATTTTAATCACCAACGATTTGATAATTGCTTTCGTTTATTATAGTTTTTTTTTGTTAGGATCGCAATGAAAACGTTCCGGCTTCTTCAACAACTGCGTAACTTTGTAACTTTAAACTCCTATGATAATTCACAGGAGGAAAATAGCCTTAGGTCTGTTCACAGGGAACATAATGCAAAAGCAAGGCTGACAACTTCACATTGAATGATAATCGATAAGTATCGAAATTTAAAATTCAAAAACTTTAATTTAGACGTAAAAAAAGTTACAAACAGGAAAACAATTGTTAACTTATTTTTAAATAAAACAATTGATGTTTCTATTACAAACAATAATTATTTTATATACATACATATATATATATATATATATATATAAAATAATTATTGTTTGTAATAGAAACAATAATTATAATTAATTATTATTATTAATTATTATTATTATTAATTATTACAAACAATAATTATTTTATATATATATATATAAAATAATTATTGTTTGTAATAGAAACATCAATTGTTTTATTTAAAAATAAATAATTTATTTATTTTTAATTTATTTATTTTTATTTAATAAAAATAAAGGTCACTTCAAACTGTCAATTAAAAACTGTATTTCGAAATTGACAAATAAATAACTGTAACAAATGGAAAAATCGTATAAATTAGTGTAATTATTATTTTTACTTTTAGAGTATGCATTATTAATAGAAATTTTATCTGCTTTATTCTATTAATCATAGTCTTAAATTCACAGAAAAACCCTAATCTCAAATTGAGTACGAAATTAAATATTTACTTGTATTGGAAAAATATTTTTTTGGTTGAACTCCATAAGTTTTCTCAAGTCAAGAAAATATTTTCTTGAGTTAATATATATATATGATCTTGACTTAATATATTTTACATTTCTTAGAAGTCAATAAACTTCTTAGACGAATTCCATATTGTCTTGGACCAAGAACATATGGTCTCCTCACAATACAAATAATATTTTGATTTAAATCTTGTCTTACTTGATCCAATATTGCAAAGATTTGAATGAATCAAATGAAACAATTAATTTGACTACATATATTCTCAGAACAAGAAAATATTTTCTTCCTTTAATGTATTTTACATTTGTTACAAGTTGATTAATATATTGCTCGAATTCCATATTTTCTTGGATCAAGAATATATGCTCTCGTCCCAAATATACTATCTCAAGACAATCATTTACTTGAACCAATGCCGTAATTGACTTGTCCCTATTCAATTCCACGGTTTACTTGAAGCAAGTAAAATTTTCTTGATTCAATACTATTTTTTTTTCAGTGTAGTTAAAATCTGTTATGGGTTTCAATTAGAAAATTATATTAGCAACATATTGATTAGTCGATAAGGTCAAGAATTACTATAATTATTTTAAAGAGTAAAAGAGTTGAGTGAGCGTGTTACGTTTTTCTTGTCATATGTAGATAAATTGTGGGAAAATGTCCAGTTTGCTGTAATTATGAAATGCATTAGGTTTCTGATATATACCTGTTCTGAATACAGTTTCCTTATTTTATTATAGAATTTTAGTTCAATGTTAATGTTAATTTACACTAAAACGTATACGATTTAATGTTATATTATATATACTTTTGTACGTTTTTGATAAAAAATATCAATTAATTACAATTTGCATAGTTTGTACACTGAAAAAAAAAATTATTTGATTCAAATACCATAAATTGTAACAACCATAAATTGTAACAACCATAAATTATAACAACCATAAATTATAACTATATCATAAATTGTAATTACCATCGATTATTGTAATCACCATTTTTTGTAACTACCATAAATTGTAAGAACCATAAATTGTAACAACCATAAATTATAACTATATCATAAATTGTAATTACCATCGATTATTGTAATCACCATTTTTTGTAACTACCATAAATTGTAAGAACCATAAATTGTAACAACCATAAATTGTAACAACCATAAATTGTAACAACCATAAATTATAACAACCATAAATTATAACAACCATAAATTATAACTATATCATAAATTGTAATTACCATCGATTATTGTAATCACCATTTTTTGTAACTACCATAAATTGTAACAACCATAAATTATAACTATATCATAAATTGTAATTACCATCGATTATTGTAATCACCATTTTTTTTGTAACTACCATAGATTGTAACAATCATACTTTGTAACTAATAATTATTGTTGTTCGCAACTACCATAGGTTGTAACAAACAATGTCTGTAACTACCAATAGGCTGTAACTATCATAGGTTCTTACTTCCATAGGTTGTAACTATTTATTATTGGTATTTGTATTACTACCATTATTTGTAACTAATAATTATTGTTGTTCGCAACAACCATTGTCTGTAACTACCATTGTTTGTAACAATCATAGTTTCTAGCTAATAATTTGTAGCTTTTTTTGTAACTACAATAGTTTTTATATATATACAAAACTGTATGTAAGAAACATAGTTTCCAACAACTATTTTTGTAACCATATTTTTTTTACAGCAACCATTGTTGTATTTGCCATTGAATTTTTAATATTTAATAATAATCCAAGTTTGATTTTTTAAGCTATCAATAATATTTTTAAAATATTTCATTTTTAAGACCAACTATTGTTAATTCTCTAATTTATTGTTATAATTTTTTGATTACAATCGTTTTCGATAAAATAATGCAATCAACTGTTTTATTTATAAAACAATAATTGATCTTTATTATTGCAAAATTTAGCTCCATATATATTTGTAAATCCACATGCCCTCAATATCAAGATCATTATAATATAATTTTACAGTACCTACGCGCGACGTCTATTTAATCGCAACTCGTTATATGAATGAAAAATCCAATTAAATACAATATCGGTATCTCAAAGATCATTATATTCACGTTATACATTTTGCTTTATGCCAATAACAGTCAATAATATATTATTATACCAGCGGAAAAACACCGTTGTTTATTTACAATGATTATTTCTTCTCAACACTTAGTATATATTACTATATATATATATTTTTTTTTAAATATAACCCAAATGACATTTAGATGAATCCTCTGACATCATAGATATTATCATCACTGTTACATTAAGTGATTATTGAAAGTACTCTCCGTTAATCAAAAAAATATACATTATGTATTTACTTTGTTTGTCATTTTCATATATATTGAGAATATTTTTTTAAATATACATAGGTAATAGATTGAAAAACAAGGGGGGGGGGAATTGAGAAACAGAAAATGAAAAGAACATTTTACAAAATGTGAAATTTCTCATAGACTTGTTTATTCATTGAATGGCTCTCGAGAGCTATTCAGGTGGAGTTTTTTTTTAAATTGTGTAATAGGCGGAGTTACATTTTCTTTAAGTGATGGAAATTTCAATTTCTTTGAGACGACGAAACATACAAACATACATACATCTTTTAATATATTTGTCATAAATGAGGAAGAATATATTTTTTTTTTCAATGAAAGTTCGCTTACTAAATAGACTTCTTTATGGCACTTGAGGCTCAGCATAATAAGCAAATCACGATGAGGAAATTATTTAAATTTTAGATTACTGTTATGAAAAGTTTACTATAAATACTATAAACACTATAAATACTATAAATACTATAAATACTATAAATACTATAAATACTATAAATACTATAAATACTATAAATACTATAAATACTATAAGTACTATAAGAACTATAAGTACTATAAGTACTATATGTACTATATGTACTATATGTACTATATGTACTATATGTACTGTATGTACTGTATGTACTATATCTACTATATGTACTATATGTACTATAAGTACTATAAATACTATAAATAAATATTATAAGTCATTATAATTTGCGATTGATATTGTAATAAAATAATTAAAATTGTTATGTCTGACTAAAAAATTCTTTTACCACTGAATATCGAATGTAGGAAAATTTTGGAACTCTAACAAAATTAGTCTTACTACTAATACCAAAATTAGAAGAAACTATTTTTACTACTAATATTACAACAGAAATTAATATTATAGAAAATAGAAATTTTTGTCTTACTGAAACTTACATTTACTACTGGTATTAATAAAAAATTTTTTTGAAAAGGCCTGCCTGATTAAAACTGCCTTTTACTACTTCCAATATTCAATTTTAATTATTATAGTAAATTGAAAAAGTTCTGTCAGACTAAACTGTATTTTACTACTGATATTAGAAATAAAAAAAATTAAAATATTTCTGTCTGACTGAAACTTATTTTTACCACTGTATAATGAAGTAGAAAAAACTTTTTCTCCGACTTTAATTGGCATTTATCGTTATAAAAAATTATAAAATTTTTATTTTATTTTTAAAATAAAATTTTAAGAATTTAAAACTGAAATTTAATTTTTATGAAATTTTCTGTTTCAAAATTTGAAGCTAATCACAAATAAATAATTCAAATAGTGTTGAGGGCGTTTTTTAAAAAAAACTGAAAAGAAAAAGAGAACTTGGAACTCGTGCGTGAAGGATATAAGCAAACAAGAGCGATTAATGCGCACTGATAAGTTGATATACTTGAATCAAATAATCAAGATCTTGTCAGAATATTACTTTTTCTTTGTCACCAAAAAAAAAAAAAAAATGTACAAATATTTTCACAATATATTTAATTTTTTTTTTTTTGCACTCATGGACGTACAATTGATTCTCGACAAAGATTATTATTATCTAAAAGAAATAAAAAATTGTATTTTTAATCAATTAAACATTATAAAAAAAATATTAAAATTTATTGCTACAAAAGAAACAATTTTTTTTACAAAAAAAAAATTTTAATTTAAAATTAAATTTTATTTAAATTCTACAATTTGGTATTGTATACAAAAATTATTATAAAATCAAAAGAAGAAAAAACTAACTTGATTTAATCCAACCGATATATTGTTTATTTTTTCTATTTTCATTTTGAAGATAATCCATAAGTGGTTGAAAAAATTCTAAAAGTGGTTTTGCCGATAATTTATTTTCATCCGTTGCCATTTGCATAATTCTTTGCCATGAAATTGAACTTCCCATAGACATTGTGTATCTGTAATTAAAATATAAATTTTTTGATACATTATATAGCTTCTTAAAAAAAAAAAACTATAGTTAACTTTAATGATATTTTATTTATATTCTTGTCATTAAATACAATTATCGACATCATCACATTTAAATATTTTTTCCGTTAAATATTTATTTTCTCGTTACTATGCTTTGGTGGGGAAAAAAAAAATTCCACTAATGCTGCTCGCAGCCGTGTGTTGCACGCGTTTTTTTTTTCGTAAAGAGAAATCGCTGTTATTATATATACACTTCGAGTAAATAATTACATACAATATACAACGTACTTAAGAACTTCTCCAACTTCCTTATTTCCCGAGAAGTCACAATTGTGAAGTCCCTTGGATGAATTTCTACTCTTTTCTTGATCGTATTCATCGGCCATTATGCAAACAGCTTTAAATAATTGAAATTGTTGAATTGTACTCACAAAATAGCTGTACAATTGTCAAATTATTATTATTATTATTATTATTATTCTTTATAATTAATTAAGATAATTTAATTAATTAAAAAATTTATAATTTTTCTAACTAAACTAAAATTTTTTTTTTAAATTTCATTTCTAGAAAAAATTTTTTTAGCGTACCTTATATAAGGCTTGTTAGCAATTATGTGAAATTTTGAAGCTGGATCATAATTATTTTTGCCCCTCTCCACAGGGGGGCTTATACCTTGAAGTTCTTCTCTAAACGAAATTTATTATTTATTATTAATTTATTATTAGGTAATCACTAATTTTCTTTTTTATTAATTACGAATTTTTTAATATTATTATTATTAAACCTTAGTTTCCACCATTCACAATTAAATTTACTGACATCATAACGTTTTTTGAAAATATTCCATCTATGAAGATCAAGGACAATTGAATAAGGTAGTACAACAATTTTTTGAAGTGCCATTTGAAAAAGATAATTTATCGTTGTTTTATTATCCGTCGATGAATGTTTCTGAAGGCCCAATTTTTTTAAATGCCTGTAAGATTACAAAAAAAAAACTGTCCATCAAAAACTAACAAAACAAAATGATGACGTCACATTAAAATCCATCACAAAATGTTTCTGAACAATTATTATATGTATATTAAAAAAAAAAAATTTTTTTTTGTACAAGACCATGAACCGAATTCTTGTTATTTATTTCTTTTTGTACACTTTATGAGAGTGTCTTTGGTAAATTAAAAGAAAAAAAAATATATATATATATTATACGAGTGTGACATAATTTAATCTAGTCACGTAACTGGGACAACAAAATTATAGTCGAAACCATTGAAATTAACGGAAGTTGAACATTGTTTTTAAAATTAATTTCCTTTTAAAAATTTAATTAAATTAAAGAAGGAAGTAACTTTACCTCTTATTTTTTGTAACAACCATAAAATTAGTAAAGTGTACCATAACATTGGTTGTAACTACCATAGTTTGTAACTACCAATCGTTGTAACAACCATTTATTGTAATTATCATAGGTTGTAACTACCATTGATTACAGTTACCATAGGTTGTAACTACCATTAGTAGTAATTACCATAGGTTGTAACTACCATTGATTACAGTTACCATTGGTTGTAACTACCATTGATTACAGTTACCATTGGTTGTAATTACCATTGATTACAGTTACCACTGGTTGTAACAACCATTTATTGTAATTATCATAGGTTGTAACTACCATTGATTACAGTTACCATTGGTTAAAACTACCATTGATTAAAACTACAATCGGTTCAAACTACCATTAGTTTTAATTACCATATGTTGTAACTACCATTAGTTGTAATTACGATAGGTTGTAACTACCATTGATTACAGTTACCATTGGTTGTAACTACTATTAGTTGTAACTACCATTGATTACAGTTACCATTGGTTGTAAGTACCATTGATTACAGTTACCATTGGTTATAACTACCATTGATTACAGTTACGATTGGTTGTAATTACCATTGATTACAGTTACCATTGGTTGTAACTATCATTGATTACAGTTATAATTGGTTGTAACTATCATTGATTACAGTTATAATTGGTTGTAACTACCATTGATTAAAACTACAATTGGTTCAAACTACCATTAGTTTTAATTACCATAGGTTGTAACAACCATTAGTTGTAATTACGATAGGTTGTAACAACCATTGATTACAGTTACTATTGGTTGTAACTACCATTGATTACAGTTACCATTGGTTGTAACTACTATTGATTACAGTTACCATAGGTTGTAACTACCATTGATTACAGTTACCATTGGTTAAAACTACCATTGATTAAAACTACAATTGGTTCAAACTACCATTAGTTTTAATTACCATAGTTTGTAACTACCATTATTTGTAATTACGATTGGTTGTAACTACCATGGATTACAGTTACCATTGGTTGTAACTACTATTGATTAAAACTACTATTAGTTGTAACTACCATTGATTACAGTTACCATTGGTTGTAACTACCATTGATTACAATTACCATTGGTTATAACTACCATTGATTAAAACTACCATTAGTTGAAACTACAATTGGTTGTAAGTGCCAATAGTTGTAACTACTATTGGTGAAAACTATCAATCGTTGTAACAACCATTTATTGTAACTACCATTAATTAAATTCTCTATTAATTGTAACAACCATTAATAAAAAAATCCCATTCTCTGTAACTATCATTATCTATAAAAAATTGTAATAAAATACAGTAACTAAATAGTTTTAACAATTAAAATGCATTCACAGAAAATTAAATGGCATTAAAATAAGCTGCAACGCTTATTATTTTAATCCAATTTTGCTTATTTTAATACCAAAATGGATTAAAATAATAAGCGTTGCAGCTTATTTTAATGCCTTTTAATTTTCTGTGATTAAATTGTCTCAACTATAATTAAAAATTATAAGAATTGAAAAAAATAAAATAATACATTTTTTTTTAAATTGTGCTGAAGTTAAAAAATGTGTTGATAATTTTTTTTTCTTAAATTTATACCTTGAGTTGAAAAAAGTTAACGTAAATAAATCGGCAATTGCCTCATGAAAGCCTGGATTTGGTTCGTCTCGAAAGGCAATTGGTTGATTTTTGTATTCCATAAAATAATGTACGTGAGCAAGATTATGATGTAGTGTTACAAAATCATCACCGTTAACTTTCAAGCACATCTTCAATCTATAGAGAGTTTTCACAAAATTTACATAATTTATTCTTTTTTTTTCCATTTATCAACTGCGCAGCATAAATTTATGCAATTTATATATATATATATATGTATGTATACGGTTCATGTAATATAATAAAAATGGTAATTCAAATTTTTCTTTTGATATTGGTGAATTAAAAATAAAAATTGTGATTTTATTTGCAAAATTTATTATTTCCTTTCTTTTCTTTTTTTTTTACCGAAAATCTCTTCCTGTAAATAAATCCCATGCCGATGCTTGACAAGACATACTTCTATTTTCTCGTTGCAAAATACTTTTTTCCCAAAATTTATTATTTAATTTTGTAAAACTCATTGACTGAAAAAATTCATCAGCTTCTTTTGCCATACGTTGTATTGTATATTTCTAAAAAAAAAAAAAATTCTATTTTTAGTTTTTTGAAAAAAATTTTTTAATTGGCAATTATTGCTTTTTACCTTTTGCAAAAGTAATGTTGTTATATTAGTAAAATTATGAGTGTTAAAAGGAACTACTAAATCGTATATATCCCACTTTTGAGCCCACATGTTACCTATATGAAAATTAAAAAAACAAAAATTAAACTAATTTACTTCTTTTTTTTTAATAATAATTATTGTTTTTAAATATTATGAAAAATTTTTCAAGTTTGAAAATTTGTTTTTCTTATTGCAGAATTTTTTTTTTTTTGCTGTTTATAAAAATTTTATTTGCCATTTGCGAACTTTCTTTTATATACCAAGTAAATGAGCAGGAATTGTCCCATTCTCACTTATCAGTCGACTTCCATAAAATATACCAAGTTTTCTTCTCACGTATGCGTGTAATTGATCATAAAGTGGTTTTATTTCCGTCCATAGCTTCATTATTGTTTCCTCGAAATTAGATGTTGCATAATCGGCTGCCCACATTTCTGCGGCATTTTGATAACCTAAGGTGCAATTTTTAATTTCTGTTATTTATTTATCTTTTTAATAATATATATATTTTTTTTTAATTTCATTCTTAATTTATTTTTTAATTAATTAAGTTATGTATTTATTTATTTTTAAATTTAATTATGTATTTATTTGTTAATTTATTTACATATTTTCAAAAAAAAGAAAATTCTTTCTCTCCTTTAAAAAAAAAAAATTCAACAAACCAAGTAGCGAAGCAATTTCATTGTTATTGTCATAAATTAATTGCAATTCATCAGCAAACGCTAATCCAGTTACATTTCGCCAAACAATCCAATAATAAAGTAGTTCACTTGGATCTCGCGATGTTGCAAATACATTTAGAATTTCTGAATGAAAAAAAAATCATTTTTCTCGTAACTATAAAAAATTATTCATTGAAAATTATTTTTAAAAAAATTATATACCTGGCAATTTTACTTGACAATCGTGACAATCGTTGTAACGACATACGGTTGTTGATAAATATCTTTTTTTTAAATCAACCAATTTATTTATATACTAAAAATAAAAAAAAAATAAAAAAACAAAAAACAATTTAGAGATAAAAATCCTTTTTTATGGAAAATATATATATTTTATATATATATATATATATATATATATATATATAATACTACCGTTAAATATTTGTCTTCATTAAGAATTGCACTTCCGATATTAGTCATTTTATGAAAAAGTCCCTTCAATGTTTGATTGTGAAAATTTTTCCAATCAAAAGCAGACAATTGATTTTTCACACGTGCCAAAAATCTATTACTATCGACAATTGCTCCTATCTAAATTTATTTTAATAATTATTGCAAATTTAAATTATTTTTCATTATTAAATAAATACTATAAATAATATATTAAATTATTTAATTAAATTTTTTTCAACATTTAAAAAAAATTTTTTATTAAAATTGTTTTTTTGTATTTAATAATTATGAAAATAATTATTCTAATAATAATTATGAAATAATTATTCTAATATAATAATTATATAATAATTGTTATTATATATTTTTGAAAATTAGGAGAAAAAAAAAGATTATTTTTCGTTTACCATTCGTTCGAGATTATCCTCATTAATATCAACATTATAATAATAAGTGAAAAGCGCTTCTTGATTCTTGATGACACTATATTCATCATTTAATTCCTCAATGAGTTCACGTGCAACGTTCTCTTTATGTGTAAGTAAATTTACTTTCGCCAAGGTCACATAAATTATTGTAAATATCGTTAAAAGAATTACAAACCAAGTTAACATTTTTTTTTTAAATATAGAAAAAATATTAAATAAATTAAAAGAAATATTAAAAAATATTTAAAAAAAAAATGAAAAAAAATATAAAAACAGTAGAAGAAAAATATTTATTAAAAAAAAAACACAATTTTTTTTTATTAATGAACAAAAATGTGTACGTGATAAAAATTCTTGAAAAACTGAACATTCATGTGAATTTATTTGATAATTGTTTCAGCGCTTTTTCGAATAAATGTATTTTCAATGGTTATTACAAACGATATCGATCATTACGATGGTTATGCCCATATAACGATAAACACACATATATATATATATACACTAACACAGAACATTGAACAACGTCCGTCGTATATATAGGATTCGATTTGTTTCGAGTGATTAACGCATACACAATAGGGCGTATATTACGATATACATATATATGTATATATGAGAGAAAAAAAAAGAATGGAAACAATCGACCCTTTTTCCTCTTTATTTCCGTCTATTTTCGAATATGAAATAAAATACAATAGCAGACGAGTAAACAATAACGTTTTATTGTTTTTATGTTTAATAAAAAGTTATTCAAATATTTTTCATTTAAAAAAAATCAAATTATTTGGATATTGGTTTTTTATTTTTAGTATATTTCTATTTTTAAATTGAAAATAAAGATTTTAGAAAAAAATATTTTTTCATTTATTTAAATATTTGTGAAAAAATTCTTTTAATAATTTACACAAGTGAGAATTTTTAATGATAATATATTTAATATTAATTATTATTATTATTATATTTATTAAATATTTAAAGGTGAAATTTTTTTTTTTAATAACTTACACTGAGAATTTTAAATTATAATAATCGAAAAAGAACACGAAAAATCTATGAAATAATTTTTTTCACGATTGTTTAACAAATAAAAAATTTATGTTGTTAAAAAAAATTAAAAATTTTTAATTTTTTTTTATCTTGTAAACAAAAAAATTAAGTGAATCGTATTTGTTTTATCACTTAAATAAATCATTGAAATTTTTAATTTGAAAATAAGTGCTGCCTCGTGTGGTGAAAGTATAAAATATTTTCAACAAATAATCTGCTAGAGTAATGGTAGGTAACTCAAGGCAACTACTATTTATCAACTGTAAGTCAAATCTTTACGAGTTTCTAGTCGGCAAAACTAGATGTCAGTTTCAAAAAAAATTTATATTTATTAAATTTTTTTTGCTAAATTTCGATAAAATTTTATAAAAAGAAAGATTTTAAAAAATTATTTAAATTTTTCGAAAAGATTTACAAAACATATTTTAGGTATTTAATTTTTTTGCTTATTAAAAGAAATATTTAAAAATGTTAGTATAATTATTAAAAATTATCCCTATCAGTGCGATTCAAATTAAAAGAATATGGAAAAATTTTTTTGTCTGACTATAATCAGGTTAGACTACTAATACTAGAAATATAAGAATTTTAACAATTATGTCTGACTTTAAATGTTTAAATGAATTTTACTACTGATAATAAATTTTGCAAAAATATGGTAAATTACTGTCTGACTATTACTGGTTTTTACTACTTATAATTAATTTACAAAAATATGGATAATTATTGTCTGACTATAACCGGATATTACTACTGATAATGAATTTTCAAAAAATAAGTACTGTCTGACATTAAATGGCATTAACTACTGATAGCAAATTTACGAAAATATGGATAATTTTTGTCTGACTATAACTGGATATTACTACTGATAGCGAATTTCCAATAAAAAAAGCACTGACTGACTTTAAATGGCTTTTACTACTGATAATGAATTTACAAAAATTCGGTATATTTTTGTCTGTTCGTAGCTGGCTTTTACTACTAATGATAAATTTATAAAAATGTGGAAAACTATTGTCTGACTATATCTGGTTTTTACTACTTATAATGCATTTTCAAAAAAAAGTAAATTCTCTGACTAAAAGGACATTTACTATTTCAAAATTTAAAATAATTCCAGAATTGTCTGACAATAAGTGCCTAAATTTTCCGTTAGCTAAAAATTGTCTTTTATAACTGATATCAATTTATAAAAAATTCCCGAATAATTTGTCCGAGTAGAATTTTTTTTTCAACTGATATCAAACAAACACATCAATCAAAAAAAAAAAATGTCTGACCATAATTGGTTGCTGCTACTAATAATGAATTTACAAAAATTAGGAAAAAATATTGTCTAACTATAACTGACTTTTATTACTGATTTTCAAAAAATACGTAGAATTATTGTCTGACTAGATCAGATTTTTACTACTGATTTCCAAAAATACGAAAAAATTTGTCCGAGCAAAATGACTTTTACTACTGATTTTCAAATAAAAATAATTCGTAAATTGTCTTACCAAAAGACGTCTTTTATCACTAATAATAAAATTTCCCTCTTAAATGTCTTGTAAAAAATCTTTTATAAAAAAAAGTGATGATACATATTTTTATACAGATATTTTTAAAAAATAATTATTATAAATTGTAACGATAATAATAAAGTGGAAAGTTCGTATAATCCATTATGTTAGTTTACATGTATACTTTCATTTCACTTTCATCATTTTATCAATTTTATAGATATAGATAATGAATCGCATGTTCTCTCGTCAGCTCTCTATATATATATATATATGCAAAACGAAAGCAACATCAATTCCGCATATATCAGACTTTTCAATTCTATTGTATATATATATATATTTTTTTAAATCAAAAAACATTATCTTCACAAGATAGTCATCATTAATTAGCATTTAATAACCGTGAATATCCGCACTATTAGATTATCATCATCATCATCACAATTATAATATAATGACAACATTATTTATTATCATCATCATAATTATTAATTTGCCACTGGTAATAATATTCATCAACCAGTGGCAAATTAAATAATTGATTAATAATAAAAATTAACATATATATTAAAATTAAATTAATTATTTACCTAATTAATTAATATTTATTATTAATTATTTAACTAATTAATTAATATTTATTATTAATTATTTAATTAATTAGCAAACAATATTTCAATTAATTATTTAATAATTAGAATTATTATCAAAAAAAAATAATATTAAATTTGCCTATAATGAATAATAGTAAAATTTCTCAACAAAAAAAAATATTATTAAATTTAGTGAAAAATCTGTAACAATTGGAATTAATTAATTAATAATTTATCGTTGTCAGATTCGTGAGATATATTATCGTGTAATTTGATTCTAGGACTTTTATATACCTTTTTGTGGAGTAAAAGGGTATATTTATTGTTCACGATTTATAATGAGATTTCAAAAGATGCAATATATATATATATATGGGGCATTCTTTCTCAGTTTTACACCCATGCTGCCCACTTTATATTCAATCCAAAAAGGTTCAAATACCCCTTAAAATTTTCAGAAAAATGTAAGCTTTCGAATGGTGTGTGGCAAAATTTTCGAATTTAATATTATCAACATCAAAATTCGAAAAAAACAAAAAAAATTCAAAAAATTGTCAAATATTTAATCTTAGCAATTATTTATTGGGCTATATCTTCTTCTTTTTAACGCAGTATTGTCATTTATGTATTTTCACATTCTTTTATGATTAAAACCGTATTGTGAATAAAATATTTTATTTAAAAAATTATTAAATTAATCTAATTATCGGAATTTTGCAAAATTTAATTGAAATATTTTGTGTCACCAAATAGAAATATGATGTCCTCTACAGAGAATTAAAAATAGTTTTTTGAGATTTATTTGTGAATTTTTTGGACTTAAGTACATAAATTTTTTAAATAAACCGGTAATAAAAAAGAAATATTTATAAATTATTAAATATTTAAAATAATAATTGACACCTGTTGATTCTATCGCAATAGACGATCTGACGATGATTGTCAATTTTTTAAACGTCAAAATTAATTTTCAAAACATTTTAGATCTATCAGAATCAACAGTTTTGAATTCTTGACATCATTAAATGGTTATATTGATCGAATAAAAAGGAATATCTAACTGCTGAAAAATAATTTGATTGCAAATTGTGGAATTTTGTATTTAAATAGAGAAAAAGAAGAAAGAAAAACTACAAATAGAATTTAAAAAGGTTTATTGAATTTTTTGTTTTAAAGATTTTTAACAAAATGAAAATATAAAATTGAAAATGTTCTTTTTTTGGTGAAGTGAAGTGAAGTGCACAACGTTTATGATCAACGATTGAAATAGAAATATTTTTTACTTAGTAAATTATAAAAAAAATTTTGCTCACACATTTTTTGTTTAAAAATTGTTAATCCAAATAGGTTACAAAAACTTTTTTTAACTAAAAATCATGATAATTTGAAAAGAAATTTTTTTTTATAAATCGTTGACCATAAACGTGAACTTCATCGAAATTCTTTTCATATTCATATATAGTTAGTTCTACAAACGAGGGAATATGAATCATATTTTAAAAAATTAAAATAGAGAATCCAATATTTCCAACGACTTTTCAAAAATTCATTGGATTCATTTAAAACTTGTTACTCGGGAATTTTAAATGTCGCTGTTTAAACATTTTAAACTTCTTCAAAATTCCCGGGAATATTTCCACTTGGGTGGTATGACTTATATTGCAAAAAAGTATCTTTGCAAAATTTATTTCGTTTTCTTCCTTCGATTGCAGAAATGACCATATAAAATCATATTCTAAGGCTTATATTTTTAATTTTTCAACAAACCTCTATTATGGTTTTTTTCAAACTGCTTGTAATTATTGTCACCTGTAGAATATTTTAAAATTTACAATGAAGTACAGTAGCATATATCTTATAATTAGGTGTGAAAATTTCTTCCATTTTCCATTGGAATTAGATATTTTTTGGCTTGAAAATTCTGGAATTTTAATTTCTACATTTTGTGACGACCGTATTTATTGTGAATATGCCCAGCGTACATGGTGACAGATGCTGCAATCCTTACAATTTAAAACCTCATAAAGGAAAAGATTTGCGTCATATTTCGAGTAGTTTGAAACAAAAATTTCCACAAATTCCGGATATTGCTAAAATTTGTGCGGCATGCAGGAAAATGAAAAATTCTACTATTGTTAACGATACTCCAGTCTCATTAAGTGTAGATGAAATGCTGCAGAATTTATCTATATCATCCGGTGCATCTTTACAACCTACAACAGAATCTCAATCAAACACAAAATCACAACGAGAAGTCGAATTAGAAGAGATGTTGAATGGATTGAAAGATAAATTCTCTTCTCTCGAAGTTAATGACCCTTTGAGGTTATCAATTTTGACTACAGTACCGGATTCGTGGTCAATAAGTCAAATTTCTCGTGAATTCAACTGCTCCAGGTACTTTGCTAAATTGGGAAAAGAATTGAAAGGTTTAAATGGTGTTTTAGGAGAAACAACTGCTAGGAAGGGTAAATCATTGCCAGAAATTACTAAGACACGAATTTATGAATTTTATAATAGTGAAGAAAATAGCAGAATCATGCCCGGTATTAAGGATGTTGTGTCTGTGAAAAGTGACAAGGGCAGAGAACTGGTCCAGAAGCGACTCCTTCTTGCCGATTTAAAAGGCCTTTATGTTCTTTATAATGAAAAGAATCCTGATTGTCCAGTAAGTTTTAGTAAATTCGCACAACTTCGACCAAAGCATTGTATTCTTGCTGGTGCTAGTGGTACACATTCGGTCTGCGTCTGTACAGTACACCAAAATTGCAAGTTGATGATTGACTCTGTCAATTTGAAGAATCTCACTAAAGATTCCGACTTGGTTGTAGAGAATTACAAAGATTGCCTACGACAAATTGTATGCGAAAACCCTGATGAAAATTGCTATTTGGGTGAATGTAGTAAATGCCCTGATATTATGAAATTGAATAAACGTTTTAGTGAACTTTTAGAGGAAAAAAATATTCATGACATACAGTTCAGGGTGTGGACAACTACTGATAGATCAACACTTCAGACGCGAATCCAACCGTCTTCAGAATTTGTTGATGAACTGTGTGACAAATTGATCATACTGAAACCTCATTCGTTTATTGCAAAAGAGCAGTCACGTTTCTATCAGGAAAGCAAAGAGAATTTAAAGAGTAGTGAAGTCCTAGCCATATTAGATTTTTCTGAAAATTACAAGTATGTTGTGCAAGATGCGTCGCAAGGATTTCATTTCAATAATTCACAATGTACAGTTTTACCAGTCGTATGTTATTATAAATTTGAGTCGAAACTTGAACACAAAAGTTTCATTTTCCTGTCAAATAGCACTACTCATGACACAGCTGCTGTATATACTGCACAGAAAATGCTGGTTCCTAAATTACGAAAAATCATTCCTCAGCTGGAAAAAATAATTTATTTTAGCGATGGAGCAAAGCAGCACTTCAAAAACAAATACCAGATGTTGAATCTTATGCACCACGAAAAAGATTTTGGCGTTGCAGCGGAATGGAATTGTTACGCAACTGCGCACGGTAAAGGACCTTAAGACGGTGTAGGAGCAGTTTTCAAAAGGGATGCTATGCATGCAAGTCTTCTTTGCAAACCACATGATTCCATCATAACATTTGAAAAACTTGTTGACTGGGCTAAGAGAAATTCACAGAAGACTGAAATTATGTCTTATAATTAAAAAGATCATAACAGAACGAAAAGGTTCTTAAACGCAAGATTTGCTGTAGCTCCACCAGTTCCAGAAATTCTAAGAAGTCACTGTTTCATTCCAAATAAAAACGAATTGATAATAAAAAGATTTTCAAATGCTTCGGATATTTCGACTCTTTCTTATAAGAAGATAAAAAAGTCAGAAGGTAATAAATCAAATATGATTTTTGTAATTTCTTGGACACTATACGACTTTTTGGTAACAAATTTTTTAACAATATCGTTAATTCCAGATTGTCAATAGTGTAACTTGTGACTGTTATGTGAAGTGAAGTGAACAAGCCACAGAACATGTTTTAATTAATAGTATTAATATTAACAATATTAATAATTATATAAATAATATTTTAACAACAATTAATTATAACTAATATTTATATTATAACTAATATTACGAAGGTATGTTTATTTGTAAATGCGTGTATGATGTGTATGATACTTAATAATATTATGATAGAATAGTGTGTATACGTGCCTAAAATATGTAAAGTTCGTAGTATGAGAATGAATAGTATCTTTAGAATACTTTAATAAATTTTCAGGTTTTCTCTTTAAAGATAGTTGCTGGACCAATTAATATTTTATAATAATTTGTTCAGCTCTACCTTTTAAGAGTTTTTCCTTCCGTTTATCGGTAATTTTGTGTTTAATTGACTTTTTTAATCTGCTGCCTCTTTTTCAGGATTTATATTAGGTCCATCACTTTAAATTTTTTAGAGAGAACGTCAAAATTGTAGTCAATACAATACTGCGTTAATAAGAAGACGATATGGCCCAATAAATAATTGCTAAAATTAAATATTTACAATTTTTTTGAATTTTTTGTAGTTTTTTTGAATTTTGTTAATAATAATATGAAATTCAAAAATTTTGCCACTCACCATTCGAAAGCTTACATTTTTCTGAAAATTTTAAGGGGTATTTGAACCTTTTTGGATTAAATTTATAGTGGGCAGCATAGATGTAAAACTGAGAAAGAATGCCCCATATATATATATATATATAGCATAATAGAATAGCCCTTAAATATAATCGGATCGAGTGAGAATATTGTGTGATTCTGAGAGCGTGACATCAAATGCTTCGCAACTATGTATATAGATCTGATAAAATCAGTGAAGAATTACCAACGGCTATTTAAACGACTTTCTGATGCAATGATACTGTCAGAATGCAAGTATAAACGCGATTATGTCATTGAATTAGGTCTACAATAAAAACTAGACAGAAATTCCTTGCGAATATATTATATTATATTTTAATATTTAATTAATAATTATTTTTTCCCTCAAGGAACATTTTTTTTTCAAAAATTGTTTTACTTACTATTTTATAATTATTATTGAAATTATGGAATTATTATAATTATAAATAAATATAAATTATTACACTGAAAAAAGGGTTTGGTATTGACAATCAAACGTTTGGTTGCATATTTAAGCAACCAAAATTTTTTTGTTGAATCAACAAAAAATTTTGGTTGTCTCAATTAAACTTTAGTTAGGACAACAAAAATCCTTTTTTTTCTAATTTTGGTTGTGTCAAACAAATTTTGGTTGAGACAATTAAAATTTTGTTGATTCAAAAAAAAAATTTTTGGTTGCTTAAATACCAACCAAACGTTTGGTTGTCAATACCAAACCCTTTTTTCAGTGTATTATTAAAATTATGTAAAAAATAATTTATTTTACAATAAATAATAATAATAATAAATAAGTTCTGCAAAGAAAAATTTGTCCTTGATAAAAATGTATAAATAATAAGTGTGATTTGAATAAAAAATAATAAAAAAAACCTAATGTCGGAGTTTTATTGTAACAATAGAAATGAAATTACAATAAAATTGCATTAATTTCACTTGGAGAAGATATGAGAAACTTGCATCATCAAATGAAGATGATGATCCACGCAGGAAGTGGACAGTTTTTTAGCTTCCGTTTTAAGAAAAATTCAGTTCACGGACATTAATGTATGACGCATCAACTTTAATTGCTACTTTATTACGGAAGAAGGTGTTATTTCATTGAAAATTGTAATTAGCAGTGCGAATTCTTACCATTTCTGTTATTGCCTCGTTTCCTTCATTTTGGTTCATTAGACCTTTCTCTCTTTCTGTTCTTCTATTATTGAATCTATAAAAGAATATAGAAAAAAATTAATTTCAAATTATTATTTAAAATAAATAATTTTCATTAAAAAAATTTATTGGAAATAAATGAAAAAATAAATATTAAAATTTTTACACTAGAAATAAATATAAAAAAAGTTAATTTTTTTCTAAGTCAAAAAAAAGTTTTTCTAAAAATCAAAAAATTGTCATCTCGATGACAATTTTGATTTCTTTTTTTTTGATATATTATTACTGATTGAACGATTCTTGTCAGGATAATTCCTTTAACAGCCAGGAGTGTTATTATCTCTTTATCTTGTTAGAAACTTGAAACTGTATATACATAGAGGTTTTATACAGAGATCACGTAATGGATATGGGAAACTTGATTATGATCAGTAGCAGGCGCATGTGACTCGTGGTTTAAATTAGTATAATTTGACCGATTAAAAGTAATAAGATCCGATTCTGCGTACATTTCTAATATTTTAGAATATAACATGCGCGCAAGTTTGATTTTCTCGCAAAAAAAAAAAAAGGAAAAAAATAAATAAACCAATTAAAATTCATTTAAATCGATGTGAACATAACAAATTTTAGAAAATAATTATTGCTATCAGGAAATCATCAATCAGGAAATAGTCTTCATCAATACAATCATTAGATTATAATAACAAGATTGAATTTTTTTTTTTATTCCGTCAATTTTTTGTTTTTTGCAAACAGATTATTTTAATAACTTAATCAAAATATTTTCTCCTTTTATGTTATATTATATTATATTTATATTATTTATAGTTTATTATATTTTTTTTACTATTTTATATTGTTTATTATTTATTATATATTTATTAATTATAAACATTTAATTTTTTCAATTAGTGAAAAATATTAAATCTAGATGGAATCGAACCCTGTGCCCTTTGTTTCTAAATGTTTAGTACTTTTAGCCCATTGAGCTAAAATACAATAATTAAAATTTTTTAACTATTTAAAAAAAATTCTGTTTTTATATTTATATATTAATTTGAAAATTGAAAAGGTTCAATATTTAAAAGAAAATTAAATAATTTTCCAACTAGGGGAAATTAAATAGGAAAATCACTTTATCATGTTAACTGAATTTTTAAGAAAGTAGAATCAATTACTTATTGCTTCATGACAAATTAAGCGAATCATCATTATATCTTGTATCTGGTTTAACAAGAATGTCTTGGCATTAACACTAATTAACATTTAAATCTTATCTGAGAAATTTATTTCTCTCACTTGCGCACGTTTTATTCGCACAAAAAAAATTGTTTTATCATTTTTTTTTTAATTTTTGCATAATTTGTCACACAAATTTAACATTTTACATATAAATTTTTACTTTTATAAAGGGTTCAAATTTAAAAAATTTACTTTTTCCCCCCTCAATTTATATCGATAATGATTCATTTCGACCTCGGTAATATATGAAACGAATTTAGGAAATTAAGGCTAATCAATCATTCACGCTTTAGCCTTCTTTGTGCTGGTTTTTAAAAAGCCATGAATTTAAGTATATTCAATTCTTATTTCTATGTGATAAAGGTCAAAAACTACGTGATTAATCTCACATTTTTCTATTGTCACAAACAAATTCAATATAGTCAAAATGTGATGTTCAAATACAAAAAAAGTTGATTATGAAATAAATAAAAATCCCCCACACAAAAAATTTATTTAATCAGGAAATATTTTTTTTTTCATAAAAAAAAGAAAAACATGTTTTGTTTCATTTTTTATATTTCATTTTTAAGAGCAATTTTCTTGAATGTGTTTATAAAAAAAAAAAATTCAAACAATGCATTTAATTAAGTTTGTGTAATGTGTAGTTTTTTTGCACATTTAAAAATCTCGAGTATGTATGTACAGTGTCAATAATCGTTTCCATAGAAAATTAATTTTTTTCACGTCATTATTCTGTTTTTCTGATTGATTATTTATAATCACTGACAGAGATTGAAAAGTGGAATCTTTGTTTGTTTCTCTCTTTTTATTACAGCATAAATTAGTTCATTTGATAATACATTACACAATGTTAATTAAGAATAAATTTTTTTTTTTAAATTTAATTGGAGTTTGAAAAAAAATGAAAAAATTAATTTAATGTATTTAAAAATTTCAATAAATTAAATAAGAGAAAATTATAAAAGTAAATAAAACTTTTTTTGGGTCAAAAAATTTCGTTTGTAAAATTGATTTTTTTTCCAATAAAGAACGATTTTTCTCGATTATGCATATTACATACAATTAATTATGTGAGAGCAATTATTTGTTGATTAAAAAGTAAAAACTCGTTTTATAATCCACATGTCTGTTTTTTATTTTTATTTTTTTATTTAATAATCACACAATATCATTCTCTTCTCAATTATTTTCATCAAAATAATATACAGTTGCGCTGATACGATTATGCAGATTTTTTCACGTTCAATTTCCTTTAAAGGACTTCCGTTAAAAAATAATGACGCACATTTTACAAATCTTTTTATTATAAAGATAAAAATCTTTAAAAAATGTCCAATCTCGCGAATATGCTTAGAATAATTTAGAATATTATTATAATATTATATTTAATGCCTAACTTTTAATTTCATATTTTTTTTAACTATGGATTTTTATGTTAATAAATAACCCCCCCCCCCCAACCCTTTTATTTTGTGGTAGATCTTGATTTTTACGAGCAACCTTGAAAAAAAAAGAAAATGATAATCCTTTTGTCTATAGTCACATCTCGTATAACGACCCGGAATTCATTAGCAACTGACATCTCATTTGTTAGTAAAAAATGCAAAGCGGAAGTATTTTAATATCAAGAGTTTTGCGAAAGAAAAAAATTTTGTTTTGAATTTATTTCAATTTACAATTCAAACGCGATGTAATTTTCTTTTGCGGTCATGAGGAAGAATATCGTATATTATAATATATGAATTTCCGTGATTTTTGATGATGAGTTTTCATTCATTCATTTTTTTTTTTTTTTATTGAATTAAAAGAATTTACAGAAAGGGGGGGGGGGATTTTTTAGTTGTTGACATATTCGTCAAAGAAATTTTTTTATTTCTAACTTTAATTTTTTCCTTGTATGTGAAAATTTGTTTATAAGAATAATAATAAATAAATAATTTTAATTAATTAACAAAATAAACTATGTAACTTAATTCATAAAATTAATAAAATAATTAATTAAACAAATAAATTTTTTTAAATTAAAAATTAATAAAAAAAAAAAAAAATGGTAATTAAAAAGAGAAAAAATATATAAAATTAAGATAGCCACTCCTTATTTCGATAATTGAACACGAAATGTGATGATTGCAACAAAAAAAAAAAAAAAAAAAAAAACGTTGCAACCTGACGATTAGTTTTGAATAAAGCGTAGGACATTAGGGGCAATGTAACAATCATTACTGTCATTTGAAGGTATGCAATGACTTTGTTTTTTTTTGCAAGCGAACTTGTAAGTGGATCGGATTTGTGATTCACTGTGTCTGCAAGTGACTTTGTAATCCAATGAGCAAACCGTGGAATGCTAGATAAATGTTCCCGATTGAATGCAAATTAGAGCAATAAAGTTCGCCTTTATATAGCCAAATTAAGATTCACGAAACATTTACCTTTCATTTTATTTTCAAGTCTTCATTTTTTTTTTTAATTAAATTTTATTTTAACAATTATTATTAATTCGTATCAAAATATAAATTTTTATTATTAAATAAATAAATATATAAATAAATAAATAAATTAATTAATTAATTAATTAAGAAAACAACAAAGAAGACAAAAAAAAATTGTTAAATAATAAAAAACGAGTTCAATAAAAATTGGATAGCTTTTTTGTAAAAAAAAATATATATATATTTATATGTTTTCCAACAATTGTTTTTCAAACGAGAAACACATTTTTAGACAAATTATATCGTTATTTATTTAATAGTGTAACGTAAAAGAATACAATTTCCTTATTTGTACAATAATTACGGTAAAGGACAAAGTTACAAAATAAGAGCAAATAATTATTTATGTAAAAATATTCTTTTAAAAATAAATTCTCCATTATCTACAATAATTAATAATGACATTTGTAAATACTAAGAATCCTTTTTTAAATTTCACAGCATCTCTATTTCCAAACGTTTCTATAGTTATTACAAAATTTCTAATACGATGAGAAATACAAATATTTCATAAAAAAAAATATTTGGTAATTCAGAAAAACATGAAACTTGTAAATAATTGATAATTTTTTTTTATATCTTTTAAAAATAGAAACGTATTTTTCAAAAAAAAAATTAAAAAAAATTATGTCACTGAAAATTACATACAGATCAAGTTTTGTTAAATTACATACAGATCAAGTTTTGTTAAATTAACATATTAACAAATTATTATTATACATACTATAAATTATTATTATTATATATTATTAACCAATTAACTAATTTTTCAAACAATTTTCATCATTTAAAAAAAATATAAGTGAAATAAATAGAAATAATTTAGGATAATTACTAATTACTTAACTAATTACTTTTTCTTTTTTATTATAATTTTCTTTCTTTTTTCTTATCATAATAGTACTTTGTACGAAAGGGCGTTTTTTCTTTTTGTAAGCCCGTTGATACTTAAATAAATAAATAAATAATTAAAAATTATATGAAAAATACTAAAATAAAAATCCAATTAGAAAAATATAATTATTTATTATATATATATATTATATATTTTATAAATTAAATAACATTCTCATAACACACTGACCGTCTATAAATTATTTCTGACATTATTCAACAAAATATTTAATGACTAAAATGATTAAAATCTTATATGCGCTACATAATATCGTACATATTCATAAATCATAAATGTTGTTTACATGTCAATAGTTATTGCATTCCAAAACCCTTTTCCATCTACTAGAATATATTTTTTTTTTACATTGTCTATCACGATAAAATCTAATTTTTGCACCTAAAAGAAAAAAAAAAGAAAAACATTAAAAACTTTCCAATATATTAAATTAATTTTTCATTTAGTGGTAATAATTGAAAAATTCCCACAGCAATATGTCAAACAAATTAATAATAAATAATAATAAAATGAGGAAAATTTAAATAATTCTTGAATTTCATTCATGAAAATTCAAATTTATTCGTTATATTTCCGCGATCTTGTTTGCAAAAAAATGAACAATAATAATTTTAATAATAATAATAATAACGATAATATAATATAATATAATTATTATTTTTATTATTATTATTATTATTATTATTGTTATTAAAATTATTATTAATAATAATAAATTCTCTGGCTAGGTTAATTGTTAATGACACTTAATTATTCCCAATGAAAGAATTCATGTGCATCGTCAATGCACAAAGTCGAACAAGGATGCAGATTTCCTTTATCACGGACTTTGTGTAAAATATAAGAAAATATTTTTATGTCTCGCTAAGTGAAATAATTGGGATAATAAAACCAAAGTTAAATTTACTAATTAAGTAGTAACAAGAAGAATAAATTTCATGTTTTATTTTTCAACTAAACTTCACATTTTTTGTAATTATATATCATTATATTGAATACAGGGTCGAATCTTAGTTAATCAAGTATAATTATCATTATTAAAATGCATATAAATATATATATATATAAAATAATTTTAACTTAAAATTTTTTGTCACTTTTTTAAAAATTAATTTTTATATACAATTCAGTTAAAATTAGTTTAAATTTTTTATTCAAAAAATTTTTTTTTTTTATCTAATTATTTATTTAATTATTATTTAATTTATTGTATGGAAATATTTTTTAAATTTTCCTTGAGGCAATAAAATTTTGCAACCAAAAATTTATCTCCGCCTTTTTGGATCAATTTTGAATTTTTTTTTTAAATTTCATTTATAAATCACTTACAGTTTTTTCTTTGATCAAAAAAATTTTTACGTTTGCTTTTTTTTTGTCTATAAACGGACTCTTGCAGAAGTTTTACCATTTTTTTTGGGGAATTTTCTCTCAACAGTAAATCCAAAAAAAAATTTTAAGTGAATGAACTTGGTTCTTTTACATTTTAACTAAATATTATTATTTTTTTTTTATTTACATTTTGTTTCCGAAAAAGATTTTTATCAGGAACAAAAAAGAAACAAAATAGAAATTAATTAGTTAATAATTTTCATTCTTTGAAATCTAATAAATTTACAATTATAGAATAAATTTGAAATTTTCCTCAAAAGAATAAAATAATATTTCTTTTTTTTATTGTAAAAATCCTTTGAGAAAGTATAAATCTAATTCGATAAATCATCCTTTTCTTTGAAAATTAATTATCTGATTAATTATCGTTATCTTTTTGTGTGTCTCTCTCTCTTGTACTCAAGGTCATTGTGATGTTATCACCGGTACGGATTTCCGGTGGGGAAGGGAAGTTGAAAAATCTCTATCTCTTTTTTTTTTCTCTGGATGAGAAGAGAGACTCTAAAGCAAGGTCAAATTTTTCCTTTTTTCTTGAGAGGAGGGCAAAAATCACCTTGACCGTGAGGAAACTGTCAGGATCGTGTTGATTGGCGGGGGTCCTCTGCGACCTCCGACGACGACATATAAGTCCCAGTACCGACTCCCACCTTGCTTCAAACAGATCAAGCTCCTCTGACAAAACGTACTTTACCGATCTTATAGTTTACTTTACTTTTAAATATATATATATATTCACTCTCGCCTACCTTCAGAACGATCTTTTACCCACCCCTTCTTCGAGAGTTGTTTGTAGGCAGGAGCGCGGTAATTCGAACATTTTACAAGACTACCGCGCTAGTTGTTGGCCGACTTGTCCGGCGAACGGAAACTGCCGTCTCGCATATATACACCTTTTCCTGAAGAAGAAGAGACTGCGTTTTACGCGGATTAAAAATGAAATTCGTAAGTGTGATATATTTTTTTTAACTTCAAAAAAAAAAAATTAGTGAACGCGAGTGATTACATTTTTTGTGTGTTAAAAAAAAAAAAATTTTCTTCATAAATTCATGATATTTTTTTTTTTTTATACTCATTTCATTTTTTTTTCTATTTCTAAAGAGCATGAAAAAAGTTTAGTGTGGTATTTTTTTTTCTCAATCTCATTGTCCGGAACTGGTATATAGGTATTGTATATTTGGATTAATGTTTGTCCTCATCCTTTTGGTAAGCTATAAAATATTATATGCTTAGCTTTTAAATTATTAGAATATAAAAAAAATATATATGCTTGGGTTGTAAATCATAAAAATATAAAAAAAAGGAATTATAATGATAAAAAGAAAAAAAATTATAAACAAAAAGAAAATATCTCAATTTAGTTTTCCTATTTTTTTTTTATTAAATTCCACGAGTATATTTTTATTTAATTATATCAAGAATCGTGTAAATTTAATATTGTGCTGATATTAAAATTAAAAAAGAAAAAATTGCTTCAAAAATCCAGGGTTAAAAATTGATTTAATTTTTTTACAATTATAATTAATTCTTGTGAAATATTTTTTAAATTCTTTTTAATTATAACATATCGCATATATATATGAGACTAAAAACTTATGATTATTGTTTTCTGAGAGAGATTTAATTACTTTTTCTAATTAACTTATGTATGGGATTGTAATTAAGACGTCACCTTAACTGTAATTAACAATTTAAAAAAGGCGACGAATGGAGTACGTTTTATATATATATATATATATATATATATATATAACTACTCATTAAGGCAGTCTATACTTAATTGGTCCTTTTATCCTTTTTATAATGCCCAGAGTTTCTATAATGATAAAAATCAGTTTTGTGTGATTTTGTATTGTCAATAGTGTTGCATCGTGAATGAGAAAAACAGTTATCATATTTTAAACGTAGAATTCTCGCGAAAGAAATCTTTATGTAAATGCGGAAGGAAACGAAAATTGTTTGAAAAAAAAAATTCACAAGAATTAAAATTATAAATAATAAAAATTAGAAAAAAACTAGGGTTTCGTGGCCGTCGCTAAGGAAAAAAAATTCTTAACAACGGTTGCTAAGGCAAAAAGAATCATAGAAACCGTTGCTAAGGAACAAAAAATTCTTAGAAACCGTTGTTAGAGAACAAAAAATCCTTAGATACAACCGTTGCTAGGGAACAAAAAATCTTTATAAACCGTTGCTAGAGAACAAAAATTCCTTAGAAACCGTTGCTAGAGAACAAAAAATCCTTAGATACCGTTGCTAAAGAAAAAAAAGTCCTTAGATACCGTTGCCAAGGAAAAGAATCCTTAGCAACCGTTGCTAAGGACCAAAAAATTCTTAGAATCCGTTGTTAGGGAACAAAAAATCCTTAGATACAATTGTTACTAAGAAAAAAATCCTTAGCATCCGTTGCTATGGAAACATATCCTTAGATACCGTTGCTAAGGAAAATAATCCTTAGCAACCGTTGCTAGGGAACAAAAAATCCTTAGCTACCATTGCTAAGGAACAAAAAATTCTTAGAAACCGTTGTTAGGAAATAAAAAAATCCTTAGAAACCGTTGCTAGGGAACAAAAAATCTTTATAAACCGTTGCTAGAGATCAAAAAATCCTTAGATACAACCGTTCCTAAGGATTTTTTCCTTAGCAACCGTTGCTATGGAAACAAATCCTTAGATACCGTTGCTAAAGAACAAAAAATTCTTAAAAACCGTTGTTAGGGAATAAAAAATCCTTAGAAACCGTTGCTAGGGAACAAAAAATTCTTAAAAACCGTTGCTAGAGAACAAATAATCCTTAGATACAACCGTTGCTAAGGAATTTTTCTTAGCAACCGTTGCTATGGAAAAAATCGTTAGATACCGTTGCTAAAGAAAAAAAAGTCCTTAGATACCGTTGCCAAGGAAAAGAATCCTTAGCAACCGTTGCTAAGGAAAAGAATCCTTAGCTACCGTTGCTAAGGAACAAAAAATTCTTAGAATCCGTTGTTAGGGAACAAAAAATCCTTAGATACAATTGTTACTAAGAAAAAAATCCTTAGCATCCGTTGCTATGGAAACATATCCTTAGATACCTGCTAAGGAAAACTGGACCAACTCGAAGTTTCTGCGCATCTCTGGCAATTTTTACTCCAAAAATAGTAAAATTTATTATTTCTGTAGTAAATTTTACTGTTTCCGTAGTAAGTTTTACTATTTCTAGAGTAAAGTTAACTATTTTTGGAGTAAAAATTGCCAGAGATGCGCAGAAACTTCGAGTTGGTCCAGTTTTACTCTGAAAGTAGTAAAAGTTACTTTATAAAAGAAATCTTTTTTCTCCGTGTAGCAACTGTTACTAGAGAACAAAAAATCCTTAGCTACCGTTGCTAAGGAACAAAAAATTCTTAGAAACCGTTGTTAGGAAATAAAAAAATCCTTAGAAACCGTTGCTAGGGAACAAAAAATCTTTATAAACCGTTGCTAGAGAACAAAAAATCTTTATAAACCGTTGCTAGAGATCAAAAAATCCTTAGATACAACCGTTCGTAAGGATTTTTTCCTTAGCTACCGTTGCTAAGGAACAAAAAATCCTTAGATACCGTTGCTAAAGAAAAAAAGTCCTTAGATACCGTTGCCAAGGAAAAGAATCCTTAGCAACCGTTGCTAAGGAAAAGAATCCTTAGCTACCGTTGCTAAGGAACAAAAAATTCTTAGAATCCGTTGTTAAGGAACAAAAAATCCTTAGATACAATTGTTACTAAGAAAAAAATCCTTAGCATCCGTTGCTATGGAAACAAATCCTTAAATACCGTTGCTAAAGAACAAAAAATTCTTAGCTATCGTTGCTAAGGAACAAAAAATTCTTAGAAACCGTTGCTAAGGAACAAAAAATTCTTAAAAACCGTTGTTAGGGAATGAAAAATCCTTAGAAACCGTTGCTAGGGAACAAAAAATCTTTAGAAACCGTTGCTAGAGAACAAACAATCCTTAGATACAACCGTTGCTAAGGATTTTTTCCTTAGCTACCGTTGCTAAGGAACAAAAAATTCTTAAAAACCGTTGTTAGGGAATAAAAAATCCTTAGAAACCATTGCTAGGGAACAAAAAATCTTTAGAAACCGTCGGTAAGGAAAAAAAATCCTTATCAACAACCGTTGCTAATGAAAACAAATTCTTAGCAACCGTTACTATGGAAAAAAATTCTTAGATACCGTTCCTAAGAAAAAAAAGCCTTAGCAACCACAAAAAAAAATTGAATAATTAAACTTTTCAGAAGTCTTTTCATCACTCAATCAAAGGAACGTGCTTTATGATCGTTAAATTGACATAATGTAAAATACGAGTGCACTGCTAACAAGTATATAAAATATGATAAGTTTTGGAAGGGATGGGGAGAGAATTGTTTGTATATACATACATAATATATCTATATATACCTGATCACTGTTTATATAGGCCTCACTCAGAAATATACTACTGAACGTAAACCTCATTCGGTTTACTGGACTGAGGAGAGGCGTTAGACGTCATAAAACGAAAGATTTTATGATGTTAAAATAGAATTTATACCTTTATTACACTAGACGCTTTAATTATTATATTTTACACTCGCTGATAAAAAGCATAAATTGCTTTTTGATGTACATTTAATTTCTAGATCCGCTATATATGTATACGCAAAAAAAAAGAAAAAAAATATGGAAAAACATGTGACATTTTTATTTCACGTAATCACAAAACGTTCCTCTTATATATGTGGAATATACTTAAATAAATTATGTATTTCACAAAAAGGGGAGTGTTTTGTAAAAGTAATATTTTTCTCTTTATAAAATGCGCAAAATTTATTATAATAATATAATGATTTTTTTTATTCAATTTTTACTAAACACTTGAAAAATATTATTTATTGATGACAGAAAATAATTTTTTTAAATTATAAAATATTATTAAAAATAACTAACTAATAATAGTTAGAAAAGAATTGTCTATTTTTTAAGTTTGTAAATAATTGTAATAAACAATGAAAATTAAATCATGCGAGTATTTCTTTTTTTCTAAATAAAACTATAGTGTAATAAAATTTATTGGGATAATAATGATCATATAATAAATAACGATATAAGAAAATTAATATTTGTTAAAAAAAAAAAAAGATAAATAAAAACATGAATGTTCAATTAGCAGCAAATAAACCGAATATAAGGGCCCATAAAGTGAAACAATTGCAGAAATCGATTGTTAATCTTTATACAATATATAAACGTTGAAACATTATTAATATTTTACACACAGTGTTTAATTCTCTTTTAACACTTGATCTGAATTTAATTGATATTATAAATTAGCAAATAAATCTTGCACGCGGATTTTAATTATATCTCAAAGGAAAATTTTCTTTAGACAAATCCAATAATATTTCTCTCTCTCTCTCTATATATATATAAATAGAAACCATATGTGTTAGATATCAGTAGATCGCGTAAATATAATCAGCTTCAAATACGTCTATCGAATAAATTCCATTTGATTTCGTTTCTCTCTATACTATAAAGGCACATTTCTCCAAGTGTACATATAATGTAACGATCAGTTTACAGGATACTTATCACACTTGCCCGTTAGGTTTGAATCTAGAAATTGTATTTACCCACACACACATACACACGTATATGTTAAAAAAATATTTCAAGTAAATGGGGTTGTTACTATACGCACTGGGGAAAAATTATGGGTTTCAAAAGACAATCAAATGAATCAGAGCGTATTTTATGGCATGTCATTGCCAGTCTATATAACGTTACGAGAAGAGTCAGAGCATTATTCGAAAGTATACGCAATCACATATACGATAAACAAGTGCTAACATGTCCACTTAATTGTGAAAACAACTATTTCAACTTTTTAGGGGGAACTGATTACGAGATACGCTGTGTATAGCACGTTACATTTAAAGAATTATAGTTGTAATA